TTGCAATTTGCAATTGTTAGCTAAAAAATAAAATATTCGAAACTTTTATAAGGAAAGTATAATATTTATAATTCGCACAGTATATTGTCAAGTATCTTCTGCGCGTGCGCGCATGTGTATATATAATATGTATGCACGTACTCGATGTATGAATGTATATATGTATGTATGTGTTCGTATGTATGATGTATGGATATATACATATATATATATATATTTTTATAAATACAATATATATACAGATGTTGTCAATATAAAAATATCTAAAGAGATAGATAATCTTCATAGAGGCATAATGAGTTTAAAAATGTTAAAAATGGCACATATTTGGTAAATTAATTAATAATTTTGACATAGGTTATGGACATCAGCCTTTGGGTCTGGGCTCAAAGAGCTCCAAGCAGTATCAATGCATTTCTGCAATTTCAGTTTGGTTTTGGTCTGATCACCAGCATTGCATATTTTATCAATTTCATAATGTTCGTATACTAATCCATCTATCCATTGATCTAGATCAGAACCAATTTTATTCTCTGTAACTTTTTCATAAGAGTGTTGCTCATGGCGTACCATCAAGTTTACAAAGTTTGACCACTTTTTTGTTATTTCATCTGTATTATGATAAGTATTATCAGGCATATTGTTTACTTCCTTAGCCTTTTCTTTGTTAATTCGTTGATTTTTCCAATAGGATAATGGAGTTACTAAAAAATTTATTCTTGCTACTAGTAATGAGTCAACCACCAATAACACATGCCAAGTGCCTGTTACCAAATGATCACTGAGTTGCGGTCTGACGTGTCCCATCTAAAAAAAAAAAAAAAAAAAAAAAAAGAAAAAAAAAAAAGAAAAAAAAAAAGAAAAAAAAAAGAAAAAAGAAGAAGAAACAATCAGAAACACTTGAAGATATACACACACTATAACTTTAGATAATGTAAATATATTATTACCAAAGCTACACCATCTTCAATATGAATATAGTTAACATCTGCTAGCAGTCCATGTGGATCGATCCAGAGCACAGAAAAATTTTGTGGAGTTGTAATTGCATCATCAAATTCATATAATAAAACTGGATTTGAATAAGGGCCTATACTACCCATCACATTTCTAAATGTTTGTTCTTTCTGATCATATTCAGTATTAACAAAAAGACTATGAATTTTCCCTAACCATAATCTATTGGTAGAAACATTATGTCGTAAATACACCAGAGCTTCAATCTTTTCTGTATATTTATTTTGCAATATCGATGTCTCCCGATATTCTATATCACCTTCAGCAAAAATTAATATGCCAGTAAATCGATTTTCTCGAAAATATGCCGTTGTTTCTATAACGCGTACATTCTGAAAATTGACATTAAGCTTCTGGAAAGAAAGTCTTGCTAAAGAATGTGATATTGTTAATAATGCATCATCTATCGGAGGACTTAAATCTGCCTTGTGATAAAGACTTTGCCAATATGCATCGTAACTATTAGCTCTGACAGTCATATTTGCTCTTTCAGGATATAACCATTCTTCCACTCTATCTATAATTCTTTGATCTATAACAGGTTCAAATTTTCGTGCAAAGAACAAATTACGATCAGCAGTATTACGTATTCTACTGAAATCTTCAAGTTTAAAATCATTTGGGCTACAACCACACCAATCGACTACAGCTTTATACTGACATTTACAACCCAATTTTCTTTTCCAATTAGTCACATGAAGATTATTGTCTACATAACTATCACAAAATCGTGAGTTACGTAATACAGTATGAAAAAAAGATTCGGCAGGTAATAAAGTATATTGAAATACTTTTAAAAGATCAGTTACTAAAGTATCTGGTTTAGGATTAGAAATATATTCTACAAATTCTCGACTTAAAGCTACCCAATCGCTCCCTCCATCAATTTGAATACCTGAAAAATTAATACACCATGTCCTATTTACATAAATATTTTTAATTTAATAAATTTCAATAATTAATAAATAAATATACCATTTGGCAATTTTCGATCCCCTACTCTCCACATTCGTGCTTCGCATTCAACAAAAGTTTTATCCAATCCTTGCTTAGTAATAAAGCGTTGAACTTCTCTCCCATGTGATTTAACAAAGTTCATACCTTTGTTCCAACTAAGAAATTCCGTTAACTGAGCATTAGTTTTCACAGGAAAATCAGATTCTGATAAATTTACAAGAAAATCCCAATATTGTTGGTATGCAAGTATTTGTCGTGCAGATCTTAAAAAAGTTGTTAAAAGACTTGCACCACCCCAAATAGTTGCATGTCTCATACCTTCTCCTCTTGCTACTTTGATATTATTAGCCTTACATGATTTTTCTATTTTCAACATTTCACGATATAAATAATCTTGTCTCTGAAAGTGCATATGTTACTTTGAACGAGACAATTATTAAATCGCCGTAAAATTTGCATCAAAAATATTCTTACAGCATCAACGTGAATATAAAATAAATGAGATGGATGATATAAAATACTGATAAGTCGCTTAATTTGCCGACTAGCTCTACCATTCACAGTTAACAAGTAAGCTATACGTGCTGCCTTCTCATGACCTGTCTTTGAACTTGAATTTCTTGCTTCTTGAGATTTAAATTCTGCAACATATTTATAAACACCTAATGAAATCTATTTGAATCTTAAATTTTACAGTTCTGTACATATTCCAATAGAGTTAATAAATTATTACTACAATCGTAATAAATTTAACTTGAAGAATTTTAACAAGTACTAATTAAATGCCATCACCTTTACAAATAAAATGAATCCAAAATAAATGATTATAGCTTCTGTGCATTCAATACAGATATATTTATATATTTCTTACTTTGGATACCAGTCCAGAAAACATTAATTGTTAAATAGCCTCCACACAATTGTTTTGGATTGCCAGAGCATTTCATATTACAACTAGAGTCTGGTAAATGTTTTATTTGAGGTGGTTCTTCCATTCCACAAAAACATTCTACACTATAAAATCATTCATAAAAAAATTATCATAGATATCTGAACAGTATAAAGTATAAAATTAATTTGTGATACTAACGAGTATTCGGTACCAGCATACGGATATCCTGATTGAAGACACATAAAAGCACAACGCTCTGGAGAATTGTTCCCTTTGAAAATATGGTAATAACCAGAAAGTACTCTCAAGGTTTTATCATCTTGGAAACAGCCCAAATTTATTGGTTTATTTGAAAAACCTAGAGAATGTGAACACAAGGATTGTATCCTTTCTGGATATAACAAACCCTGCTGACTAAGGCACGTCACATTGACAATGCGTTGTTTGCACATTTGACTTTGTGCACGTGTCACTGCACTTACAGCTTCCCTGCCAAGGACTTCGCAAGCAGGTGTAAAATTTAATGATTTACGATCTAGCATTATTCTGGCAGTGCGATTACGATGATATTGAGAAGATTTATTTGCTTGTTTGTCAGGTGGAAGTTTCAATTGACGTGAGCCTTTTGGCAAACCTTCACTTTCTTCTGATTGCAGTACATCTTCCTATTAATAAACGATATAATAACGAGTCTTATTAACATGTTAAACTTTCCATTCAGACCACGTGTACCATCGACGGTACTACATACTGACATATTTTTTTGATACCCTAAGAACATATATTTTAGAATAAATTTAAGCCCGTAGAATGTATTTCCATTAAAAGAACGAGCCATTATATAAAATGCAATATTAAACAAAACACATAAATAATTAATGATTGTTACATATAATGATTGTTAAAAGTAAGGATATCAATCTTTTGTCAAAACATGAAATGGCCTGAATGAAAAGTCGACCAAAAATGTTTCGACATGGAACGTATTAAGTATATAAACTTGGTAAAACAATATAAACAAAATATATGCTTTTTTATCCGTTCAGATATTTATATCCTTATAGTATCTTTTTGAGTAGAGATATGAAGTCGTTATTGAAAGATTAAAAGGTTAGATTCCACTTACTCCGTCTGATGATGATTTTCCAAGTTTACGACTATCTAAACCAAAAAATGAGTGAGCTAAATAAAATTGCACGCAAAGGACAGTTATACCAAATACAAACAATATACGATATTTGCGAAAACAACTTGAGGAACGTCCGACCGTATAACTTTTGGCTACCGCCATCTTTTTCCTTTTTGTATTCTATTAAGGATGTTCATCATTATCTTTTGTTCGAAGCGCCTGTGACTTCAGCGACATATATGGACAAAATATAAACTACGAATATAAGCGGGCAACTATGTCTCCATCTAGCGTCTATCCTATCGGTGTATAAGCTTGTATTGAATATACCCATCTAAAATTTAACATCTACATTCTGCAAAAACTGATCAGCGATGCCTTTCCACTTCGGAAGTTTCTCAATTAACAGGAGATGTATGAGACTTTACTTATAGATAGTTTCACCGTAGCGATACTCTTAGCTTCAGGCATAATGGATTATTATTAAGCACGATCATTCGTACTTTTCGAATTTCGAACACGAAAACCGTAATGCTCGGTAGGACTTTTTCATCTCATTTTAAAGACGAAGGTTTCATCTATTTCTCGAACTTTTGAAAAAGCTTTTTATTTGTGCATAAACTATTCTTGAAAAATATCATTTTTTAACACGATTTTTTTCAAAGAAAATAAACCTTTTTCAAAAATTCGATAAAGATATGTTCTAGATTAAATCTTCGTCTTTAAAATGAGACCTTGTTTATCAAGATCGACCTAGAACTATGGCTATTTTCATTGATGGCGTAAACCATCATAAAATCAGGATTAGTGAACAACCTGAAATGTTTCCTTTTTAAAATCTTAAATTATAAATTGAATGAGATGCGCTAATATGAAATCGTAAATTTGTAGTTGAGTATCATTCGTAAATGGCACGTAACTAATTTCTACTTAACTGCCGCCTAACGTTTGTCGAAGCAAATAACGCTGAATAAGAAAAGTAAAGGTTTCAATATCATATATAGTTATACATTATGGACATTTCATCCGATATAGTCGATACAAATTTGTTTGAGAATTCTGGTAGTTCGTTTTACTTGTAAATTTTGTCTGGAATTGAGGTTAGACTATGATCGGAAGGGTACAAAACGTACAGAAATAAAAACTGTAAATGTTTTTGCATTTTAAAAGTCTAAATGGCTAGTCACGTATATAAAAAAATGGCGAACCTACCAATAATACATAAAACGAGAGAGGATGACGTTCTCGAATGTTTTCTTTATCCCAAATTTTGTTATGCATTGAACACAGATAACATAACTGAAGCACAACTTAATGAAGAAATTGAAAGATATTATCAAGAAATAGCACCTTATACGGCTGATTATATTTGGCATAGAGATGCCTTAGTATTCCGTCCAAGAACCAAACAAGCAATGATGCTAGAAAGAATTCTTGACAATTCTATGGTTATAGAAGGTAAATTTTTTGCTGTTACTACTTGCATGTTAATGTCGCATTAATAAATATTTGTTTTCTTAGATCATCAAACTGTAGCTCACATTTATGCAACTTTACGTTTTGATGAAGACATAGGAGATGAATGGTTTACAGTATTTCTTATATACAAATTGACAAAAGTGTTTGACGGATTAATTGCTAGATTAGTAGATTCAGATGGTGAATTTCTTTTAATCGAGGCTGCAAATGCATTACCTTTATGGGCTAATCCAGAGACTTGCCAAGATCGTGTATTTATACATGATGGATTACTTCACATTATTAGAGAAAAGGGAAAATCATTTGTAAATTTGTTGAATAACATTAATCGTATTCCACAAAATTCTAGAGTATCGGATAAAGTACAGAGTATATTAAATAAACGCATAGATATCTATCCAGAGGAAATATGTAAGAGGAAACATAAGGCAAGAGCTTTTTTACCAGAAAAGGCTGCATCTATTCTACGACAAGAACCAGGACTTATTGGACCAATAATAAGAACAATTTGTCATTCGGATCCATTTGAACGTAAAGTAAATGAAGATATTTTCTCTTAATCAATATTTTCATATGGAAAAATTAGACTTATTATTTAATATTAATATTATTTTAGGTTTGTCGCGCCATGAGGTATTTTCCACCTGAGCAACGTACCATGGTTAATGTGAAAATGACTAAATGTTTATATGCATTGGCATCGCATAGTCGATATACCGGCGATCCGAGAACAGGTTGGAACTTACCTCCTGCAAGTAGTTCCAAATATAATGCATATGTTCTTGGTGTTAAAATAGCATGTGGTCTAGAAATGTTAGTAGCGCGTGCTAATGAGGAACGTAGAAAAAGAGCAACAAATGCATCAGGAATAGATAATGAAGGAAAGTCAATATCAAATGAACATTCGTTCAATGCATTTTTGTCTCGATTGGAAGCTAGTGGGTATTTCAAAGATTTGTTGGAAGGCAGTCAAGAACGTGAAAAACTTTCGATTATAGCAAAAGACTACTTTTTAAAACACTTAAATTTAGATGATACATTACTACACAATGATAAAACAGATGCGGAAAAAGTTTTAGAAGCATGGGAAAATATACAAACGAATGACGTTGAGATGTATGGTAATTACCACAATGATTATGTATTAGTAGGATAAAAGTAACTAAGAGTGTGCTTTCATGCAGATGCATGTGACATTATCAATTTAGAGTGAACTATAGAAATAAAAGCTTTTTATTCAATGTATTTTGATATCTTCATTGAGTTAAATTAAAAAAAAATGTTGTAGTTACACATATTGTATACTTTTAGTTACTTCTTTAGTTTTTTATTAAAAACATATAATTATGCATGCATATTGTGTCTATTTTTTCAGTTGATTACTGATAAGTATGTATATGAAATAATACAAATTTTTTTATTATTACTTGTTATACACTACTTGCAAATATACTTTATTGTTTATTTTACAGCCCAAGATGAAGGTACATTAAGTCCTGCAGACAGTGATAGTTGGCTGAATATAGATCCAGCACAATTAGAAATGCTTTTGAATCAACAATGGGGAACTAGTAAAGACAAAAAGCACGAACATGAACCATTGAGTCTTAGAGAAAAAGTACAAGCCTTTCTCAATCAAAATAGTGATATTGATGGCGTACAATTTGTAGAGTATGTTTTTTACATTAATTTCAATATCATTTTTGCAAAATAATTGAATGTCGTTATGACTTGTTTTTATTTAAAGGGGTCAATCAGCGGATGATAGTACGAGGCATGATCCAGATGACAATGGAAGAATAGAATTTGATGCTGACGTGTTTGACAGTACTTTACGCGATATATTAGATTTAGTTGTGCCAGGTGGCGAAGGAGAATTTGAAGGGAGCTCAGAAGGTTCATTAGGTGGTGATGATGAAGATAAAGGTGGCGAAATGGATAAATACATGCGATTGTTAGATTCGCAATTGCAAGCAGAATTAGTAAAGGAGGAAGAACATATTGATAATAAACACACCGATATAGTAGAAGCAAATTTAATGGAAAGTATTCAAGGGGAATCGGGTGGTTCTGGTCCAACTGGAAATATAATTGGCGGTCCCATTCGACGGCTCATGCATTTGCAATTACAGTCTCCCACAAAAGTACCTCCTGATTTGCAAAGTTAATAATTGTTTATTGAAAGTTATAAAAGAAAGTCATAATAAATCAAATTCATCTTTGCATGTAAATATTGATGTAGGCCTTACTGTTTGATGCACATAAATATTTGATACTATCACAATATTTACTATGCCAAAGCAATATTATGGTAACAAACAGGTGTGCTCAGTTAGAGAATACGTTTACAATCTGTCTATACGATCTCAGACTGACGTCATTATAGACAAAATTAAATTAATATAATATCATCTTTGTCTATATTCTTATATTTTTACATTTCATATCGATTCATTCAAGTTCATATATTTCTATTTTATACAAACTCAATCACTATGATTATGCAATTATTTCATACACTTATATATATATATATATATATATATATATATATATATATATATATATACACGTATATTATTGTGAGTTTATATTATTATACAAATGACAAGTTCAATGTCTATCTTGGCGTCAGTATGAAAATTGCTTTTTATACTCTCGTGAACACACCTTATTTCATGCTATAATGATATGTGCTTGTGCTGTGAATGAAAAAGAATAAAATAAAAAGAAAAAGAAAAAAAAACGAAGTTGACGTTGAACGTTAGAAAAGCAATTTCAAAGCAAAACGTATGCATCTTTCGCGGATAATGTTTAAAGTTTATAATCCGTCTATCCATTATAAACATTCATGATTAACTCAAATAACATATCTTATAAAGATAAACGTATACACACATTATCGATATAAAAGATTATAGATAATAATTAATGTTTCTAATGCATAAAAAGAGCTGTCCATTAGATAAATTATAAATATACGAATTGTTACTACTACAATCTATTTGATGGGCCATGGAAGTGCAAGAAGTTAATTGTTTAATTTGCACATTCCATATCATTATAATAAATCGTACATAAAATCAACAAAAATTAAATTTCTTGAATATTTATCAAAATTAGCACCAAAAAATTTGTACCCTTTTGTTATATATTTCATTATTTGCCTATAATTAAATCCATTTTCACTTTTGTAAATAATCAGTATTAATAATGGCATCATTGTTATACAGATCTGTATATTTCAATTTTTACTAATCCATAAAACATACATACCAGACATCCACCCACCCACACACACACACGCGCGCGCGCGCCTCTTTAAACGACATACATATAGATCTGTACAAATACTCAATAAAGAATTCCTATCATACATTTATAAAAATTATTTTTCATATCTTTGTTAAATACGAATTTATTTATTACATTATTTTAGTTACTCTATAATATAATTATTATTTATTGTGTTTTGAGCAATTAACAACCACTGGGTCCTGGAACAGCTGTGATATCTTTGATTACTTTATTTTCTTCTTTATTTGTTTTAACTTTTTCTTCAGATATTATAGTCATTCTGTAAAAATAATAAGCACACTATGTTTAGTGATATCTTTGTATAATTATAATATCATCTAAAAATATATTCGAATAATAAAAACAAACGTAAATCATATTTTACCTTGATTTAATTGCTTGTATATTGGCAATTTTAGGATCTATTAATTTTTCTTTTACAGATGATTTTAAAGATGACGTTCCAGAATAATATATAATAGCACAAGGTACAAGGTTCTCATCTATTAATCGTGCATCTGGATTTAAAATGTGTTTTGGTGGAGCAGTATCTGTTAATTTATCAAATAATATAATGTACCTTTAATTAACATATTTCTAATTTCAAAATGTTGTGATTAATGCACGTTAACTTACAAAGAGTAAAGTCACAAGATGGATCACATAAATAATTTCTAATAATGTCCTTAATAACTTGCACAGATTCTATAGGTTTAAAACAAGCTTGGAAAACCAATTGATCAGGAAACTGAATACGAATCACTGTCCTGCGATATTTATTAAGTTGTTCTAATGTACGTTTATTTTGCTCAAGTTGACGTTGAGCTTCGGTCAAAAGTGGTGCTTCCTCTAACTCTTCTCTCCTTCGTTTAGCATCTCGTAGGAGTATCTTTGCATCTTCGACCGTCAAATCGAAAAAACTATCTGGTAAATCAATTTTTGGCAATGCTTGTGCTCCAGCTTGATCAAATACTAATGCATTTCGTTCTCCCAACTATAACACAACAATTACATTCATCAACTATCTAGCTTATTATTTGTAATATTATGAAAGTAAGATCTTACAAACTCTATATTTATCTCTTCTTCTGCATTTGAATGGAAATTTGTACCGAGATTGTCTTTCATATCATTATAATTTGATAATTGTTCATGATCACACGTAGCATTATCCTTATTTCTATTATTATTTGAACTTTTATCTTCTTCTTTTGTTCTAATATCTTCTATGTGCTTAAAATCTTGTATTTTCATTTTATTTCTTTCTTCTTTCAACAACGTAATAGGATCTAATGCTTTACCTTCGTAAGATACGGAAAGAATCCTTTGTTGTTTATTATACTTGATGCAATCATCATCTATGGGTTTCGTAGACTTTGGTATTAAAGTTGTAGATACATGTGCCTGTGTTTTTAATTGTACTAAATCACGATGTATCATCCGTAACATAGCTTTACCACTAGTAAGACCTAACGATTTCAAAGTCATTTCTTCTAAAGCTTGACCATGTACCTGTGAAAAAAATCTATTCGAATATGCTTCCAACATTCATATAAAATCTCGTAAGATGTATTACCTCACGATGCATATATATTATTACTGCAGTTTTGCGATCTTCATTAGGACATATGGTCGTTAAAACTTGTGCCAAAGTGACATCTGGTAAAAAATCATTCATTAATCGTTCACCATTCTCTAACAGTATACCCACTGTAACTTTGGATGTATTACGTGGCTTTTTACAAGGTACCATTTCCACCCGTGCATTATTAGATAAACCAGTAAAACGTAATATGGAATTTACATCTAATATCTTATTGAAGTGCCTACAAAAGAGACGGTGAAAATAATATAAAAATAAATTAAAATAAGTTTCAAATGTTACTCACTTAATATCATAATCGTTTGCATTATATCCATGCTTTTGGCAAACTTCTTCCAACACCTATAAATGGAAATAAATAAATTTGCCGGTTAATTTTTTTTTTTTTTCATATAAATCTAATGTAAATTCAAATTCAAAAATCAACTTCAAATCGATATTAAATGTTAATCTATTTACTTGTAAAATAGTTGTATTTGGAGTAACTTGAACATTCTGTCGACGACCGTCGGGTGTAAGAACGATGACACTTTTATTTGCCGCCATAATAGATTAAATCTCAAGTGGTCATGCGACGAACCACAGAGCAAACAGCTGACTCAGAACTTTTCTATTTCTGACGATTCTCTTTCTCGCCCTCTTTTCCTGTTATCTATTTGTTTCTCTTATAGTTGATCGAATTCAAGTTCTCGTTTGGCACTCTAATACTAACGATTTAACCTTTTAAACATACCATGTTCGTTACTCGCTGCATGAATTGTTGTTTTCGAAAAACGATAGCACATTGAAAAAAAAAGAGTTTCTAAGTTCGACAATGGTACTTTTAGTTAATTGGCAAGAAAAGTATCAAATGCGATGAAGTGGCGACCCTGCTCTTTCGATTTTGCTCGCATTACGTCACGAGAGTTTACGTTCTCTTCTGGCATAAACAAACCTATGAAAACAAAATGTCTGCGAATCGCGTTATGTTTATTAACAGATGTTTGTATGCAACCTGACGTACTTCATATCGCCATACAAATGATTCGTAAGATGCCAGAAAATTTGTGGCGTAATGGCCGTGTCCTTTAACCGGTACCTTATCTTGCCGGAAATCGAAAAAAGTGAACTAGAGGTTGACTCGGGAAATAAGCGCGCGTACACGAATGAAAATTCAACAAGAAATTCGGCTGATGGCCCGACAACCCCCGTGACTTCTGTGACCGTCCCTCTTTGCGTTTTGGGCGAAGTTCAATTACGTTTTTTGTGCCCGGACGATTTAGAAGAAGTCCGTGCACTTTGCCAAGATTGGTTTCCCATAGGTAAGACGAATATTATCTCAATTTACGCTTTAATATCTGTTATGGATAGTTGGAAGAGAATGCGATAGTTCTGCCTTTACAGATTATCCAAATTCATGGTACGAAGACATAACAAGCTCTTCGAGATTTTATGCGTTAGCTGCGGTATACGGTGGAGTAATTATAGGACTTATTGTTGCTGAGATAAAGCCGTATGTCAAATTAAACGAAGAAGATCGTGGAATTCTGTGTTCGAGTCTAGGGAAAGACTCTTTAGTTGGATATATACTTAGTTTAGGAGTACGCCGTACGTATAGAAGAAATGGTATTGCATCATTATTATTGGAGCAGCTATTGGCACATGTCACTGCTCCGGAACGTTCTTCAGTGAAAGCAGTTTTCTTACATGTTCTATCTAGCAATGTGCCTGCTATTTTGTTTTATCAAAGGTGCCATTTTCGATTGCACAGTTTTTTACCATATTATTATTATATTCATGGAAAATGTAAAGATGGCTTTACGTATGTTCTTTACGTCAATGGTGGACATGCACCATGGGGTATATGGGATTGGATTCGACATTTAGTCAGGGCGATGGCTAGTCTTGGTCCATGTAGGGTACCTCGATGGATTTGGCAACGGCTTTTATGGGCTACCACTATACTTTCTTATCACAGATGATAAATCTTATGAGGCTGTGATATATTAAAAGAATATTAAGTTACAATTAAATTCACATAAAAATATATACATATATAAAACTCCAAATGCAAATGAATTCAATATACAAAGAAAAAAAAAAATAACTATATAACTTATATGAACTGTTTGCATACGGTTTTGTTGATTAGATTTATATAAATATGATCTATATATCATAAATAATTAATCCTTTTTACTTAGCTTTTGGCTGAACAAAGAAATAGTTTTTATTAACATGAAATACAAAATTGAAATTATTAAAAATAATTTTCTTTTCAAAACTATTAGCTTATGATATAAACTGCCAGAAGATTTGTACAAAAAATATAATTTATGCATTGAAATTGAATAGACATTTTATAGTGATACTTAGTTTCAAATAAACAGAGAAAAAAATCTACAAAAGTCTGATCTGTATAAACGCATATGTGGTTAAACGTTCTAAAATTATTTTTAACTAAGTATTAAGTAAAATTAAACATTGTTCATAAAATGTTTATAATAATGTATCATTTATTTATGTTTCGCTGTATGAATATATATGAAATGAAACAACTAATGATCATATATTATAAATTTCTGGATTTTACTAATTGTTTTAATCAATAATGAACTTTGGAAAAACATAATAGTTCGTAAAAATAATGAATGCGATAGAATTGTATAATGAAAGCTTTAATGAATCAAAAAAATACATGTTTTATTTTTTTTCCTATGCATAGCTGATCTATTGTGAACATAGAAATTAATATTTCTGTTATATTTCCTTTAATGCCTTCATTATTTATTTTTATATATAAGTTTTAATAAGAATATACAATTACTTTAAGCTCCAACTTTAACATGAAATGTTGATAAAATTCGTGAACGTGAATGCGTGTATTTATACATAATGTAAATAAATACGAAATGTACCAGAATAGTTGAATTAGATTGTATATAACATTGTAATGATATTGTTTGTAATAAATTGACATGTTATAACATTGCTTCGTTTTTATGACATATTTTTAAGTTTCCTGAACTGTGGAAGCGTCAGTATGTTGTTCTCTTTTTTCTTTGTGTAATATATATATATATATATATATATATATATATATATATATATATTTCAAATTATCCTTCAGATGAACGTATACGTGCATAACCTTTCATTTAAATTAAATGTAATGTTTTAGTTGATAAATCGATCAAATGGTCCTTATTTAAATTTATTTATCTATAAACATTTTATCTATGAGTCGCTATATGTCAAGATCAGTTAAAGTGTTTATCTATGGCGTATCCCGATGTATCGTTATCGTAGTTATTTGCGAGTTCGAGTCCTCTACATAGTCTCCGTGAATTACGACATTACAAATAATGACAAAAATAATAGAATTACGTCCTGATAGATCTCTTTTAAATCCACGTTTTGAAAAGTATCAATTCTCACCAGACATTGTTCCTGTGAAATCTGAAATAAGTTTGGAAAATGGTACATATATAACCTATACTTCTATTAACAATTTGATTAACGTTAAGATTACACGAATTAAATATATTTCAGATGTATTTAGGTTAGAATTGAGTCCCGATCAAGAATCTTGGTTGGAGGTAAGGTTATTTGCACTTCACAATCATTTATTTAAAAACCCTTATGACACATCATGTTGGTTTATGGATAAAGAATATATAATTTGGCGACTGAATAAAAATGGATCTCTTCAAAAAATACATAAATTATATACTTCTAATACTAAATCATCAAAGTCATTATACAACCCATCGATTGGATTTACTGTCAACAGCGTTGTAGTAATTTCTAATGGAGATAACAGGCTCCATTTATTAAAAGAAGATAAATCTGGCCATGTTAAAGCATTTCTGTTAGAAGAAGCTGAGCCTGGAGTTATTTTAGATGTTCGATATGTACAAAATAAATCTCAAGTTATTGTTACATTATCATCTATTGCTGATGATAATGGAAAAAAGTGTACAAAGCTTATATTATTATTTTATACTTGGCAACAATCTGATAAAAATCAAGAAACTTTTCATTTGTCTAACAAACAAGTATTAAAGGTACGAGGTACCGTAGAATATGTATTTATAGAAGAAAATGGTGACCATTTACATTCAATTTGTCAAAATAATATTACTTTTGAATCTAACAATCAAACAATCACAGAAAGTAGTATAACGGATATAGGCGATAGAGAACATATAAAAATTCCTAAATATTGCTGGTCTCAAGATGAAGATTCACTCACAGTTTGGATTAAAATACCTGAAAAATATTATCAAAGTCAGGCAAAAGTTAATGTAAAATCAACTGAAATATTAATTACTGTAAATAATAATGTTTTAATACAAGGTGAATGTCAACACAGATTAGATGAGAAACTTACAACTTGGAAACATGAGAAGGATACATTAAAATTGGATTTAGTAAAGTTTCAAAGTGGTTTAATGTGGAATGAGTTAATTAAAGGCGATACAGGGGGTGAATGTTTGTCAAATGAATCACTGGCAGCTGAAATTCATTCTAGGTATTATTGCTAATTTATTTTATATCATTTTACATAGGTATATTTACATATTTTTTATTATTTGTAGATTAGCACATCTATGCTCTGAAAATCCAGATGCACCTGGTGGAGAAGGTCAACCATATCTAGGATTTAATTCTGAACAATTGGAAGAATGCGACATAGAAGGAAAAGATAACATTTTGCAAAGAATAAATCTTATATCGCAGAAAACGACACATATAGCCACTCTTGGAACAAACAATCATGTATTATTTACATATAAAATGAAATTTGGACAGGCAATATGTCTCAGACATGATCATGATGGCTGCCTTTGGATTACGGATATTGTAGAAGACACTGTATGGAATATAAAACATACTACAACATTCCCAGGTTTTGGTTATGTTGAAGCAAGTAAAAGTAATAAAAAATTTTGTGTATGTTCTCCAGGTAAGATTTATATTTACTTAGATCTTTCGAACATTATTTTTCATTCAATGGTATATTTTCCAGATGGTTCTTATGTTGCCATAATAGAACATACAAGACATGTTTTTCTTTATGAAAAACCTGAAAGTGGTTCCGAGATAAGTAAACAATGGATTGTAGATTTGGAATGTGATCCTTCATCTTCTATCATAATGGGAGCAGTTGCTACAAATAAATATTTAATAATACTTACTAAAAACAAATTATACCATTTACAAATTTATCCATAAAATTTTATATACTTTTTACTATACTCTGTACATATTGATTGATATTTTGTGTATACATTAACTATGTATAAATTGTGTGCATGTATGTGAATAAACGCGTGCACACACGCACATAATACCCGCGTACATAATAAATAATTTGCTCGATCTCTGTTTTAATGACAAACATGACAATGTTAAATGATATCATACATGATTAATATATATTTGGGCAAAACAAAATATTGCTAAAGAAATATTATAGAATAAAGTTGCATGCATATTGTAACAAGGTGTTTTATTTAGCTTTATAAAGAAAAATTGATTATTTCATATAAAAGTTTTATCCCTTGTACCGAAAACGTACAAGTCAATACAACTCAGTATATGTAATCACGCTTTGTCATAGATTTTATTAGAATAATAACTTAAATCTGTTAACCTAACAAAACAAAATTAATTAAAAATTTCTGCTTAAATAAAGTATGAGCAGAAATGATGAGTATCATTATTATAAATAATGAAAGATTTTCTTTTATATTATATATATTTAACCATATTTAGGTTGGTATATATATCATATGTCTAAACTCTTGCTGTTTGTGTCATAATCATTTATTATCTATTTGTTCCTAAACATTTTGCTCTAACAAATTGTACTACAGCTTCCATAGAAAGTGTTTCATCGTGGGGCCAAAACCATATAATACTATTAGAAAATGTTTCTTCAAATTTAGCTTCTGCTGCTGGTGGTCTTCGTATATCATAATGTGATTCGTTAGTTTTGCTATTATGAACGTATGTTTCATTTTGACTTCTACTCTTATATCGAAACCAAGGTCGACTAGTACTTCTTAAAAAGATAACACTTTTTGGTACGAAGTATGGTGTATCCTCATCATCTAGAAATGTTCTTGGTATATCACAAGTTAATTCTGGACGATTATTTTTCATAAGACGCTGAATAACTTGTAGTTTTTTATCAATATCAGGATCAAAGGGATATAATTCTTTTGCACGTACTCTTGCAAAATCATTGGGAGATGGTTTCCATAAGGCTTCACAAAATTTTTTTATAAGTTCATGCCTGTATAAGGAATATATTATGATTAGAAAATATAAATTGATATGTTGGTAGTTTTAACGAAAGAATTGTTGTAATTAAATATGCAAATAAATATTTTATAAATATAAACATTGTATACATTTTCTTTAACGTAACTTTGATTAGATAATATATACACATACCTGTCTGGTAAGTATTTTTGACTGATATCTTCTCCGCCCAATATCCAACCATCTAAAATATGCAGTGCAAATATTTTGTGTTGACTCTTTTTTTCTTTTGTCGTTTCACTTATTACTTCAGCATATACAAGTGTGTCAGGAGGTAATTCTATTTTAAGATCATTAATTTGATCCCAACTATTCTTTGTATAACGATATACTTTTCTTCTTCCCATACTCATATAAAATGTAGCCATTTTATCGGATTCTATAAATTGTCCAGTACCACAAGGTGTACATAGCCAATCATATGGCGAAGATAATATAGTGTGCTTAATATTTTCATTTGTTAATTTTTGTGGCTGATATGAAAGTAAAGTATCACGATCTTTAATGAGAAGTTTAATTTTATCTTGTGGTTTATAAAAAGGTGGTAATGTACGACTTTCATCTGGCAGTTCCCAATATTCTAAACATTGTCGTCGCATATCTGCTTGCCTTGGTTCCAAAAGTGCATTATCTTCACAAAAAGCAGCTATTTTGAGAAGACCTATAATTTGTTTCTTTCCAAGTTCATTGTTAGATCTTCTCAAATATTGGAGAAATTCTTTTTCCATTTCCAATTCTTCTAATGGAACTAATTCCATAACATCCTTATCTTTGTCTGACTTTAATAATAATTTATTTCCATGAAATAAATACTTCATAATATCATGTGTATCATGACGTTTTCCTTTGCATATCAGGTATCTTTCAGAATTTGCCGGTCTTGAAGTATTTGGCTTACAAATACATATTTCGTCAAAACAACGATACATCAAATATACTAATCCTGCACTGAAAGGCGTAAAGAGGTCAAATAGTTTTGTTACAAAATTACCGCCATCTCTTACTATCATTAAGGCTACTAAGCATTGACACAAATATAATTGTTTCGATAAAATTTCTTGAATATTTTCTTGTCCTTCAACTGAAAATCCACCATCTGACATCATAAAATGTACACCCTTGCCATGAGTATGTTTCATTATTAAATCTCTAAAAGCTTCCTGGTTACTTGTGTCAAATACATCACCATTGCCCTTTGGACCATAAAAGGTATGAAAAGTTTCTGGTGATCCGGCATAGAAATCACCTAGTTTAAAATCATTCTCATTTTTTAAAGTAAAACCAAATCCTTTAGCGTGCCATTTTTTCCTCCATAAAACGTATTCACTAAAGCCACCTGGACCAGCGCATACGTCCGCAAAATACAATAACTCGTTACTTTTTAAATTAGTTGGCCTTGTAAATAGAAAATCGCAAGCTTTATCCATGTTTGCCATTTTGACAGCGGCACGATTTAAAAAGAATGCACCTCTAATTGTTTCATATGGATTGGAACGAGTTCTTGCTTTACGCATTTCTACTTTATCTATCCTATTAAATATTGTTTTTGAATTTATGATATCTTTCACTATTTTTGATTCGCAAAATTTAGTTTCATTATGTATCGTATCTTTTTTTGGACCCAATACCATCCAATCGTGCATTTCTTTTGTAGTTAATGCATGATGGTGTGTATTTTGTAACCATTCCATATCTTCTTTAATCTGTATTATTTCTTCTTTAGGATCCCACTTAAGACTCGCAGCTTCAAGTTCAGGATAAGAATGACCAATTCCTCGCCGTCCACGTTGCATTGAAGTTTGTACTGGTTCCAATCGACCTTGATTATGTTTTCCAAGACCTTTACCAGCTTGATATCCCATTTTTTCCATCATAAGCTCTGCTTTTCCCTTTCCATTAGTAGCATTACCTGTTGTGTTTGACGTTACATTTCCTATTTTTTCCAAACAAATTTTCTTGGAAGAATTCTCTTCGTCACTATTATCATTCACTTTTAATGACTTATTATCGTCAAATGATTCATTGTACTTTATTTTACCACTTTTCGGCATATTGAATGCAGATGTATCTTCGCTGAAATTTGCGGTCATCTCGTATGAACTTTCAAATTGACTTTTATTAAAATCATAATAAGATCCTAAATGACTTTGTCTATTCTTCTCGAGGCTTTTATCAATATTATATCCCATATTGTCTTTCATAAATCCTCTATTTCTATCGTCATCATATGAATTATTACACGTTTTTTGATCGTCATTATCTGTATCATCATCAGTCGATATATGACGTCTTTTAATTCCTTTTGACATATTGGAAACAGATGCTTCAGTACTGAAAGGAGAGGTCATGTCCTGTATTCTATCAACCTGTGTACCTTCATTGAAGTCTTCAAAATATGAACCATGTTTTATCTCAAATTCAGGATCATTGTCAGTTTCATGACAATTTTTTGAATAGTCACCTTCGTAATTGTTAGCATTCGATTTAGAAGCTTCTTTTTCTCTATTAAGATTTGACATTACGTCAGTTCCTTTTTTGCTCCGTTTCTTTTTCTTAACCGTACTTTCAGAAGCTGAAGTACGATATTTCTTTTTCGTTTTTGATTTGAAATTACTCTGTGTATCATGATATCTCGTAACTTCATTGTCATTATAGTCACCATCATTTCCATCTGAAGTAAAAAGAGATGATCGGTATAAAGAAAGTCAAAATAATTCAATGGGACAGAAAGTAAAATATTATTGAAGTAGATATACGATTGAAAAATACTTCTTGCAATTGAACTCTGTATACAAAATTAATATTTTTCACGATCAAAAAGATATTATTATGTATTTATTTAGAGACACATCTGAAATCTAATTGTAAGAATGTATTAAACAATAATTGTACATACCATATTCATTCTCTGACAGAAAAAGATCATTGTTAAAATTACTTATTTTATCCATTATACTTTTATTAATACTAATTGTTCACAAAGATTCTTTGTTTCATTCCGTTATAATAACATTAATCAAAACCAAATAATACACATTCTGCACTAAACTTTTTACTCGAGATTATTTGCAACGCGTCGCAGGTATAAGACGCTCTTTAATGCGTGGTGTCTACCAAAGCACTATTCACTTCGAGATATCGCAATAAGCAACTTCACGTCAAACCATTTTTACCAACTGTAAAAAATTAATAAGATGAAATCACATCGATCTATATTTCTATAGTTTAGATTAATTATTAATAATTATATCAAAGTGTTACCTTATAATTTGATAAAAAAATAAGATCTGTTAATTAAAAAAATGTGCGATATGCGAGCAAAATAATTTTCAGATACAAAAGTGATATTGACTTTTTCTTGTCGTATAGTTGCAGGCTTGAATATCTCGTTGGTCGAATTACTTTCACTTTTATAACGGGTGATTCATCAATTCATCAATTTTTACGGAAAAAAGTCCAACCTGTAGAAGCCCTAAATCGGCCCTACGGTCAAAGGTTCATTTTTTACGTCCAACAATTTCTTTTGTTGATTTCGATAGGACAGAGTTAAAATTTAAATATTCCAATGCATGCGTAGAATAAAAATTGCTAAAACTATTATTTTAACAAGATATTCATTTTTTTCTTTTTTCTTTTTAGTTATCTGCGCGAGACCAGCCCTCAGTATCTAATGTTAGGTTTCCTATTTATAGGTTGAAGTAAATAATGAAACACTGCATTATACTTATGACTAATGAATCTCTGGACAATACAGATATATGATCATAGGCAAATATCATTAATATATTGAGAGGAGAAATAAGAATGGGACATCTGGATCACTCCTCTAAGTCCAGGTCCCCTAATTCTTCTTCTAAATCTTCTAAATCTTCTTCCATAAATAGATTTTCATTTATTGCTAAGGCAGTTGCACCTTCTCCTACAGTCACTGTTTGAAAGGAGAATGGCAAATTATTAAAGATGCATTATCATTTTTATAAATTGTTAATTTATAAAGTATATTACCGGTACTATCTTTATTGTCTTCAGCAGTACCATTAGCTTTCAAACGATCTGTAGATGCAACTGTTATACCCGTAGTATCAGTCTCACTAGCTTCAAAGGCAAGTCGTTCCATATCAAGTTCCCTATATTCAATCTTATCTTCTTCTTCATCTTCCTCACGCACATAACTAGATATTGCTTCATCACCATCATCAATACCTGATCCAAACAAATTTATATAATGCAAATATATTAAATTAATTATAATTGTCGTCAACTTAAAGTGTTTAATGCTAATATAAGTACCATCTCCAGCAGCAAGTTCTGGATTGAAGTAGAACATTTCGCGACCGGATATACCCACTTGACGACCTGCTTTATAATCATTTCTTCGTTTTTCTTCATCCTTGATAGCTTGTTCTTTCTTTTCTTGTAATTTTCTCTTTTTCCAAGCCAAAAAGGTTTCTAAAGTTATTTTTGTCTGCAATGTACGAAAATTGAGAAAATATTTCATTTCGAGGAATATTATTAGGTTTAATTAAATTTACAATAGTTTAATAAATTGAACAAATTTTATAAGAATATAAACATACCTGATTAGGTCCTAAATTTGCTCTTTCTCTCTCGATTAGATCCTCCAATGAAATTTCATCTTTCTTATCCTCTTTCTTTTTATCTTTCTTAAGAACAAAACCAGGTGGCAACGCGTGTCTGTATATACACTTTTGACCAACTGGACATTCCCAAAACCATCCATACTTTGATTTTTCTACTGCTCCTAAGAAATGTTTACAGATCTACAATTTAAACGTATTTAATATAATATTATATTACATTATATTGATATTAATTAAATAATAATAAAGAGCATACAATATCTGTAGTAGGTCGTTGACCACTTCCTCCATGTTTCTTCTCTACAACCTCTTTCAATTTGTCTTCGTCCCATTTATCCATGGTGTCTGCTTCTTTATCATCGTCCCTCATATCACAATATAGAGATCGTTTCTCTGCTTTGCGTTCTATACTTAAGTCATGAGAAAATTTACACTTATCTCCTTTTCCGCATTGTCCTTGTTTAAAAAATGCACATATAACAGATTTCGGATCCGTACCTGTACATTCCAATTATGTTAAAAGATCTCCAAAAAATTCTTAGAAATAGTAAATTCATTCTCATAATTGAATATAATTATAATGATTAAAAAATATAAAAAGAAAAATAAAAAAAAACAAATAAATTTTATCAGAAATTACTTTTGTCTATCTTTTGTGCTTGAACTGGTTTGAAAATAAGTGCCAATTCTTTCTGTTCTCTCAATTTTTTTTCCTTTTCAAGTTTTTTAGCATTAGGATCTTCTATCTTTCGTGGATTAACACCACCAGATTTTACTTGTTTTTCTACTTGTTGTATAAATTTTTGCTGCTTTGCACCTTTTTTATTTTTTATACCAAATGTTTTATCCTACAAATAAAATATAAAAAGACATATGTGTTAATAATATGTGATAGTAATGTGCATAGAACATTATTATAACAAATTATTACTCGTGTTATTTACACGTGTGCATCAATACGAGGAACGATTTTTAATAAAGATACGGTACTTTTACATACTTCGATTACTTTTTCCTTCTTCTTTTGTTCCGCCTTTTTACTCGGGGCAGGTGCTTTTTTAGGTGGCATCTTATTAAATTTTTAAATTCACAAAGCCACTTGAAATTTAAAAATATATCAAATATTGTTCATACAACGTTGGCATTGCTAACCTACTATCCGTTCATCGGATCGCCGGAGCGACTAAATTACTGATGAAAATGTTTAATAGTATGTAGTTCGATCAGGCTCTTAAATATTACAAAGGCAGAGTACCCTATCCTACCGTGTGACATTTAGAAACTTTAGAAAGTTCTAGTTCAGTACCAGTGTATGGGTAAATTTTCAATTTAAATACGTTTCTACTTTTTAAATTATAAGATGCGTATATATACGAGCTTGTATTAAATCAATGAAAATCTATTTCATACAAAAGTTTTATTCATTTTTGTAAATAGAAAAAAAAAAATATATATATATATATATATATATATATATATTATTAATATGTAAGAATATGTATTATTATAACTTTATGAAAACGAACTATAATAGTATGCAAGTTGTGAATTTGAATCGTTTATTGTATAGTCGAATGAAGTTGGCCAATGATTCTAATTGTCAATGTTATCATCTATCGATTATTTATACTAGTAACTTTATCGAGTGTTTTACGTTGTGGAGTGAACACGTTGCGTGAAACATTCCTTTTTTACAGTGTGGTTAGAATCAACTATTGTAATATTTATTAGAAATCACGATGGCACAATACGATTTAACGTCTCGAATAGGACAATATTTGGATCGTCATTTGGTTTTTCCACTTCTTGAATTTTTATCTGCTAAACAAGTAAGTAATATACTTAATATTTTGTCGCATCTCCTCTTACCAAATTATATCACGTTCTATTATTATATATAGATTTATGACGAAGATGAATTACTTCAAGCAAAATTGGATATTCTTAGTAAAACTAATATGATAGATTATACAATTGATATTCGAAAACAATTGTATCCTAATTTGGAAGTTCCAGAGGTATGTAACGATTAAATATAAATATAATTTTATTAAGGATTTTTATCCTATTTCTTATCATAATATAATGTTATAATAAAGATTTGAAATACTTATTATTACAGGAATTAAAAGCAAGACGTGCAGGTGTTTTACAAGAACTTAGTATATTGCAAAACAATGTTTCCGTTGTTGTAGCTCTAATGAATAATGAAGAAGTAATGAAGAAAATGGAAAACATGAGAGATTCGAAGGCTTTGAGTAATTATCTTACACAAGAATCTGATGTAAGTTATATAATTTATATAATTATTTTTAATTTTTTGAGATATACTTTTTATTGCAATTGATCGATTTAAATTGTATCTTATAGTTTAGGGTAGAAATGATGGACAATTTTGTAAAACTCGCACATTATCGTTATGAATGTGGTAATTATTCTGTTTCCACTTCATATCTCTATTTTTACATGCTCATAATGCCACCAACTGACAAGGTATTTATATATCAATATTATAAATTATACAATCTTTGATATTATGTTAACAAATCTAACACTTTATTTTTAATTAGAATTATTTAAATGTATTATGGGGCAAGTTAGCTTCAGAGATTCTTGTACAAAACTGGGAAACTGCGCTTGAAGATGTAAATAAACTAAGAGAATATATTGATAGTAATATTATTGGAAATTCTGTACAAGTTTTACAATTACGTACATGGCTTATTCATTGGAGCTTGTTTGTTTTCTTTAATCATGTTAAGGGAAGAGATTTGATTATTGAAATGTTTCTTTATCGACCTCAGTATGTATCACACATTAACTATATACCTTTCTTAATTATTACTTTATTATATATTATATTTATTATATTTTTCAGTTATCTAAATGCTATACAAACAATGTGTCCACATATATTACGTTACTTAGCTGCAGCGGTGATTGTCAATCGTTCTCGACGTTCTATATTGAAAGATCTTGTAAAAGTGATACAACAGGTCAGTTTAAATTCCTGTAAAAATTTTTTTCCCTTGTAGCATATTTATATTATATTCTGTTACAATTTAGGAATCTTATACATACCGGGATCCTATTACTGAATTTTTGGAACACTTATATGTTAATTTTGATTTTGACGGAGCAAGACAGAAATTGCGACAATGTCAAACCGTTGTATTCAATGATTTCTTCCTCATTGCATTGTTGAATGAATTTGTAGAAAATGCTAGATTAATGATCTTTGAAACTTTCTGCAGAATTCATCAATGTATTAGTATTGGGTATATTTTCAAAATTTATTATTATTATTATATATTTGAAAAAGGATACTTTATAATTGGAATAATCCTTACGTTTATCAGAATGCTTGCGGAAAAATTGAATATGAAGGCAGATGTAGCAGAATGTTGGATAGTTAATTTAATTCGTAATGCTCGATTAGATGCAAAAATAGACAGTAAATTAGGACACGTTGTAATGGGTGGACAGCCAGCATCTCCATACCAACAACTGGTTGAAAAAATTGAAACCTTAAGTGTACGGAGTGAAGCTTTAGAAAATCTAATCGAACGGAAAGTAAAAGCGAAGAATCAGGATCCAGTAAGTATAATGTGGAACTAATAGAGGTCAGTATCGCTTGTAACAAAATCCACTTAGAGTGTCTTGTTCTTTGTTTTGAATCTGTCAAATCGCAATAATAGTGGAAATAAAGGTAGTTGGAAGTCAATAATTTTATTATAAAGAGTTTGATGCTACTTAATATCAACAAGCAAGAGATTTTTACATCAAAGCATGACAGGATAGTCACGTTACTGATGGTGAAAACAATTTCATGTGCGCCTGTGTATATATATATGTATATATATATATATATATATATATATATATATATATATATATATATATATATATATATAATACACATACACACAATGTAAAGAAACATGTAATTGTTTTTTTTTTGCGTTCTCATTGTCAGCCTCATTTAAGATGCATCACTGTTTATTTGCAAAGATTATTTAAATTACCAGATATTTTATATGTTAACATTCGTAATAAGAGTTGTGATATGTTTTGTATGATTTATTTTCATCATAGCAATATAAAGTAATTTAGCATAAAATAAAAAATAACATTTTTTATAAACTTCCAAAATTATTTAACAATATAGAATTTTTTAATTTTGTAACACATTAATATATTTTTTATAAATAAAATATAACTTTATCTGTGCTTTACTCTAAGAATTTAGAATCCATAATAATATACTTTTGTTTTTAAAGATTATACTTAGTAAAGATATATTTTTTTACAGTATCATCGTTCTTGGAATATGGATGTGTGACGTCTAAACATTTTATACAAAACTGTATGACAAAATATATGAATATGAAGAAGATTCACAGCATTATAACTTATCTCGAGCATATAAACTTATTAGAGAATACGCTGTATTACTGCTTGATGCATAACTTCATACATCATTGTATAAAAATCTATCAAATTTACTATATAAAAAAAAAATGTTTTATCCATTTTCGAAAAATCGATATAAATCTTTTAAAATAATAAATCTTTTCTAAAATAAAAAAAGACTACATTTACTTATTACTGATTACATTTAGATAGAAAAATGTAATATATTTATCTTATTCATTATGTGGTTTTTTATTTTTTCTGACTATTATCAGTGCGTTGAAACACCTAATTAATAAAGAAAAGAGTGATACAAAAATAAAAATGTCTTTCACATATTTTACATTACCAGTGGTACATACATATATATGATATGTTAAGTTTCATCCAATGTACTATCTTTTTCTATAAAAGAATTATTAAGATGAAACGGTACGAAATTACATCCAATATAACTATTTCGGTCAAGACAATAGATGAGAACACTTCTCCAATATGGATCTTCAGCTAATAATTCAGCATTTCCAAGAATAATGAGTAAAGCACGTGCACGAGTGATAGCAACATTTAATCTTTTTGGTGAAGCAATAAATCCCAGAGCATGTTTGATATCCTCAGCGATAAAATTTGTAGAGGATCGCACTGTTGAAAGGATTATTATTTTTCGTTCTTGTCCTTGGAATCCTTCAACACTGCTGATTTTTGGACATACAATATTTAATTCCCAAAGTAATTGTCGAATTTGCAAAACCTTTATAATAAGAAGAGAGATATAAGGTATATAATCAATTATATGTATATATATGTTTAGTACAATTAATTACGTATATATTTATAATTTTTACCTGCTTTTGATAAGGTGTTATGATACCAATATCTTCTGGAAGAATTCCACAGTTGTATAATCTTAAAAGGTAAATGTATACTTGTGTTGCTTCTTCAGGATTATACCAACTTGGGCTATCGGAATCTCTTAAATTTTTTCCTTTTATTCCATGAAAAAGTATAGCTGGTGGTAATCCTGTCCTTTCAGGCAATTCTTCAGCTAGTGACCGTAAAAGCTGCGCTTCGTCACTATTTTTAGATGAAATCTAAAAAATAATGTATTATTTAAAATACAATCAATACTTTTTTATTTGAGATATTAATATAAGTACTTTTGCTTGTAATTCGGAGTTGTAAAATAATGAATTGGGCAGTTCTAGTATTTCTGGTAAACTTCGATAATTTATAATAAGTTTTGTTACAAGTCTAGGATCATAACAGGTTTCAAATCCTTCAGGATCTCTTTGATAAGGAAATTGATAAAGTAGTCTTGAGAGAAATGATTCCTCCAAACCAAATTGTTTTGCCAATTTACTTTGTACAACTGGACCAAGTTGTAATGGATCACCTGCAAGAACTACTTGTCCATGACTAGCATGAATGAAACTTAACGGTACCATAATTTCTGGCTCTGTTGCTTGGCCTGCTTCATCTATTAGTACATGAGAGAAATGACTGCGAGAAAAGCCCATATTGTATAACACTCCCAATGCAATACAAGTGCCAATTGTAATTCTATGACGTCCAATTGTACTCATAGTACAATTAATCTTAGGCCCTTGAAAAGATGATTCAAATCTATGACGTGTTCCTTCTTTAGCTATGTCCGCAGTTGCACAGTAAGGCAGTAATTTTTTTGGTATAGTACCATCGTCTAGACAATGATGCGCTATAAGTCGTACCTAAAAATTATCTTCTATGGTATAGTTAAAAACAAATAGAATAAATAAAGAATACTTACCACGTCACCAGGTTTCAATATTTTACTATCCAATAGTCGTTCCAATATTAAATTTGCCGAACTGTTTGATGGTGTAGCAATTAAAAGTCTACTTTCGGGTAGAATTGTTAATAATTGTAAAATTGTTTCACATAAAGTAACAGTCTTTCCTGTACCAGGTGGACCAAATATCACATATGGTAAAGGGCGAGCTAATCCTTTTAAGATATTTTTTACAGCCTCTTTTTGGTAATAATTTAAATTTTTATTAAACCAAATTAACTTCCGTTTTTTTATTTGTGAAATACATTTATTTAAAGCTGCATCAATATCAGAGGTATTGGAAGAATCTGGATCTTCTTCCTTTTTACATCCTATGTCAGAAAAAACAGAAGTATCTTTATCTTTTTCTGTATCTTTATCTTTATTTTTTTCTGCATCTTTATCTTTATCATTTTCTGTATCTTTATCTTTATCATTTTCTGTATCTTTATCATTTTCTGTATCTTTATCTTTATCTTTTTCTGCATCTTTATCTTTATCATTTTCTGTATCTTTATCTTTATCATTTTCTGTATCTTTATCTTTATCATTTTCTGTATCTTTATCTTTATCTTTTTCTGTATCTTTATCTTTATCATTTTCTGTATCTTTATCTTTTTCTGTATCTTTATTTTTATCATTTTCTTTATCTTTATCTTTATCCTTATCCTTATCCTTATTAAATTCACCAATACTCTTAGTGTTATCAGTATCATGATTAACCGTGACCAAATTAATATATCCTGTTATATTCTTAGGTTGTTCTATAGGTTTGACTTTAAAAAGTCTTTCTGCAACTGATACTCTTGGCAATGATTTCGTTGTACTATCAGAACTATCGCTAGTTGTACTTGAAGATACAGATGAAACTGATCCATTTCGTTTATATTCTCCCTTTTTACTAGGTGCTTTCTCTTCGCTATCAACTTCATCTAAAATTACTTGTGGATCTTTTGTAATAACACGAGTAGGAAAAAGAAATTCAGGTCCTAAATGTAATACTGCTAAATTAACAGCATTGTGACAACGTTGCATAACAGTAGTAGAACTTCTAAATGATACTTGACAATCTTCATTTTTATATTCCTGTTGGAATTTTTTATTAAATTTTAAGAAAATCTCTGTACTTGTCACTTTGTGAATATATCCTTCGTATTTCAATTTACCTAATAATGATTTCAGAAATAAATATAATTTTTCATTTGAATATATCATTTCAAATCAATTGAAACAATAACAACAAAATAAAGACCTCTTAATAAAAGCAAATAAATAAATAAATAAATAAATAAATAAAAAAAATATATATATATACCTTGATGTTTATCCCATTTGAAGGATATTATAGCTTTATCACCAATAAGGAGAGAAGGTCGTTTTTCTGCTAGACCAAGTACTTTTAAACTAAGATATTCCCCACAATGTTTCATCACAGCACTTTCCATGTCATATTGTTGCATAGCAAAAGTTTGATCAATTTCTTCCAAATATAATAAAGCATGAAACCGATCTCTATATGTTTCAAAGCATAGTCTTTGCAATAAACAAGGTATTGCATTTCCAATTGCAATTTCACATTCAACTTGTGATTTATTTAAATTATTTAATACGGTATCCCAAAAGCGCTTTGGTACTTTAAATACACCATTACGCATTTTTATAAATGCAGGTGGTTTACAGGGTCGTATCCCTGGAACATACATCGATTCTTCTTCCTTATCTATAAATGGAACATAGTTATCTCTCTTATAAGTACATCTTTTTTGAGTGTCTAAGATATTTTTTGATTCAACATTTATTTGAAAAATTCTTCCTATTTGGAATCCTTTAAAAATAAAGATAAATAATTCTTCAGAAATTCCTACAAATTTTGCATTGCACTTAAATTGATAGGAAATTGTTGCAGAAGGATTTAAAATGGTAGTTTGCTTAACTTCAGGCCATACTAAAGATAATTGTGATTGTGCTTTCTTTGACATAAAGCACCCTTTACATAACATATGACTAGTAGAGCTTGTGTTCTGTATTAAAACAAATATATCTTTCTCTTCTTGTATATTTACATTGATTTTTAAATCATTGCTAATAATTATGCCACATTTATCTTTAATCAATGTATTCAAATCAAGTTGCGGTATTTGAAAAGACTGCGAAGACTCTGGAATTGGAAGTTGCTTGGTTTTATCTGGCACCTAAAAATAAATTATCATAAATTGTACATTTAAATAATACATTCATTTAAATAATACAATCGTACAATGCTGAATATTTATCTTGCCTGCAATAATGGGACTACAGTCAAAGATCTCCATGAATAGATGCCTTGATCACTTTCTATAGTATCACTAGCTACTTTATCACCTACATAAGGTATGTAACCAGATTCACAAACAGCTTTATTAAATACAGTAGTTTTTCCAATTGTTCCATACTCCTTTATAGGATCATAAACAGTTATAACATTAATATCCAATTTAGACCTTAAAGGTAGTATTTTATTAATCTCTATAATTTTTCCAGTTAAATCTGTTTTTTTGTCGTCAAATTCTACCAAACATTCTAACTGCAACCAATCTCCAACTATAGGTATAAATTCAGAATTTATCTTATCTAGATCAATACAAATGTCATTAGGATCAATGAATACTTTTCTGCCCTTCCGACTAATTACTTTTCCAATAATAGTTTTTGTTAATATATCTACTTTAACAATATTTGTTTGTGGTACAATAACTGTATCATCCCAAGACTCTTCTATTATAGATATAATTTTATATATTTTTTGATCATTATTTTCATTTTTTTTGTATGCAAAGTAGCAAACTATATCTCCAACCTTAGGTTTACTAGTTAGTACATTGGTTGTTTCGCACATATAACAATTGTCTATAAGAATATATTCATCATTGACGAACGTAACATTTCCTGTTTTATAATAACTTCCTTCTTCGTCACAGATTTCTTCACAGGTTTCTTCATTCTTTGATGTCAATGCATCTTCTTTCTGAAGACTTTCAAGGCGAGCTATAACAACATCTATGTCATCTTCTTCTGGTTGCGAGAAATATTTATATCCAAAAACATTATTAATAATATTATACATGAAAGATAACATTTTTAGTTTCTATAGCTCTGATCCAAATATCTGTGAATATTACATTTTTTATAATGCAACGTTTCTTCGTCCTTTCTTTATTATTAGTAGGAAATAATTAACTGATAAATCAAATAAATACATACCTATCTATAGGTTGGTATTTCCACTCGGTTGACTTAAGATATTCTAATTCTTTACGCAATGATTGGACTCTTTTGAGATGCAATTCTTTCAAAAGTCGTTTCTGTTGCTTCTGTTCTTGTAGCTCAGATTTTATTTGATTTAAGATTTTGCATGTATGGGATGCACTAGATGTTAATTCTGAATCTTGTGATTCTGATGTTCTTTGTCCCGTCGAATGTCCTAAAGTATTTGATGATAACGTAGACGTGTTCATAATTTGTTACAAATTTTTAGACAATCTTTTAATCTTCAATATTTCGTCCATTCAATTTTGATCTCTGAATATTCTAATATACTTTCCTTATGAACTTAAGATATCAGTAAAATACCTGTAAAAAATTTGTTATTATTTATACATATATTTTTGTTAAATAGAAAAAGAAATAAATGAAGAAATACCGTTTTACGCGTTGAAAATAATTTTCACGCGAATCGTACGTATACGTTTAAATATTGATATCTACGTGTATTTAATAAAAAAATCAAAGAATCAAAGAATCAAAAAATCAGGCATTAAAACTTTTTACGATGTGTGTGTGTGTGTGGTACGTAAGTTAAATATATATATGTATATGCATACATACATACGTCTATACATAAAATTACAATTTGAATCCTCTATCTATACAAAACGACACTCTCATTGGATCGTTCATTAACTTTTTGAATCATAAGAAATACGAAAGTTGATTTGAATTAAAAATTCTCTAATATAAAGTATGATTAGGAAAAGTTGATGGAACAAAAGTCAGTAAACATATGTGAAAGTATTAAATATTTAATTTTAGAAATATAACAAATTTTTCAATCAAATAGAAGATGATATTTTTTAGTATCCAATAATAAACAATTTGTTACTAGCAGCCAATCACAGAATTGATAATACAGGAAAATGATTTACATGTATATATAGAACATAATGGAAACGATTGAAGTTATCTATAGTTATCTTATATGTACATTTATAACGAGTACTACTTGATGTGTTGTTTTATCAATTTATGCAAAATAAGTAGATTATTATTAAACTCAATAATTATTTCACGGTTATTATATTAAAAACACGTTTTATTATTAAATTAAGATTAATATGTATTGCTATCTTTTAAATATCGACAAAAAAAATTAAGCGTAAAACATAGAGACAAAGTTTTTAGTAAGTTGGCTAACCTTCTCCGTGAAGTCAGTTGCTCACTTCAAAAGGAATCCGACAAAAGATGGACTCCTGAAGAATTTTTATATGCATCGGTTGTTCGACTTCGGATTTTCCTAATTAAATTTCATTAGAACTGTTAAGATATTATTCTTTTTTATGATCACGTCCACGGTGTAAACGATGATTGTGCAGGAGCCAGTGCAGGTAAACACAGCAGATATCCTGAAGAACTATAGATGACGTATAATTTTTAGATGGGGTATATCCACACTTATTGATATTGACGTCTCAAAATTAAGGCCATTCTCTTGTGTATTTACTTAGTAAGAAATGTTGATTTCTGCAAATTATGAAATAATTTTTAGTTATTTTTTTTTTTTATTATTAACTACATAAAGAACTTACGTTGTTTTAACATTTACTATCTTATATTGTGTTCCTTGAAAACTGTTATTCCAGTGATATTATATGGAAAAACAAATATCTATGAATAATAACGATGGTTCATTAAACGCGCGAGTTTTTGTCATAAAAATTTCTATTCAGGCAAACTGTTGAATGTTTAATTACTTATTTTTTTACACATTAATCGAGGAGTGTTTATGGTTGTGTTTATATATTATGATTGTGTAATAATGAGTACAATTGTATCACATTGATTACTTTCTTTTTATATTTTCAATTCCAGGCAGCCATATGGCACTGTTTAAATCATTATGCTTATCCAGATGCAATATTTTTGGCAGAAAGATTATGCGCTGAAGGTAATAACATGTCTTTTATCATTTTAATATTCAAAAATTGCTTTTTATGCGGATGATAAATAATTAATATATTTTACAGTGGACACAGAAGAAACATTATTTCTTTTGGCAACTTGTTATTATCGTTCAGGAAGAATTAGGCAAGCTCACGCTTTACTTTCTAAAAAAGCACCTAGTTCTGCACAATGTAGGTTTCTTTTGGCTAAATGCTGTTATGATTTGGAAAAGTAAGTGAAAAGAAATATAAATATAAAATTTTTGATCTTCTAATTTTTAATTAACAATTTTAATTTAATGTCTTCAGGTATGCGGAAGCAGAAGCAGCAATTATTGGTGGATATTATAAGCAGTTAAAAAGTTTAGAAGAGATTACAACTCAATTCGGTGAACAGGCATGTTTTTCACTTCAGATAATAGCTAAAATTTATTATAAAATGATGCGCACTACTAAAGGCAATGAAGCACATAAATTGGCTTTGAAAATGAATCCATTTTTATGGCATTCTTTTGAAGAATTGTGTAATGTAGGAGAAAAAGTAGATCCAGCAAAGATCTTCAATCTGGAAAAATTAGATAATTTTGCTATGTGCCATGGTGTAACACCAATTCTAAGTTATATTCCAGAACCTGATTTTATTGTACCTGTTAACAATACAAATAGCACTCCTACACCAAACGGCACTAATAGGTAAATATTTGCGTTTTTTTCTTTTCTTTCTTTCTTTCTTTCTTTCTTTTTCTTTTTTTTTTCTTTTTTCTTCTTCTTTTTTTTTTTTTTTTTTTTTTTTTGAATCTTAATTTATGATGGCAATAATTTATTATAGTACTCCTGTGCAAACTACAACCGCAACGATCATGAATAACGTAGCACCTAGTGTACGTTTGTATTCGTCTATAGAAGAAAATCCACAAAGTATACCAACACATTATATTCATCCTTCTTCGATATCACCTCGTGCTAAACTTCCTCGATATCGGAGTATGTTTAGTAATTCTATGAGTCCTCTTACACCTAGTTTTGGTATCCTGCCATTGGAAAGCAACACGCCTGAACCTACCGTTTTACCTTCTCATACGACTCTTACAGAAGCGAATGACCAAAAAAGTTTAGCAAAGTGTGTTAGTAATTTGAGGGCTCATGTAGGGGTAAGAGACAATATGTAATTGTAGATTTTCTTTAAATTGTACAGTGAAATGAACTTTATGTATTTTTTAGCAATTTATTTCAAGGAAGGAAACACCTTTACAACAAGGTAAACCAGTGTTTTCCCAATCTGGTAATGCAAGTAATACTGCTAATATAGTCACAGTAACACCAAGTACTCCTGCACCTACACCACCTACTCTTCAGGGTACAAATGTTAGACGGTCATCGAGACTATTTAGTCATAGTTATTCGGTTAAGGTAAGCATTATTAGAATTGTATACGCTGCTTATTTTGATAATATAGTTATTAATAATAATCAGTATATCTTTATCACAGGAAAATAATAAGTCACCTAATAGAAATAAATTTGCAACACCTAAGTCACCATCAAGAAAAGCAAAAGCAAGATTATCCAAGACAAATTTAAATAAAACTAATTTTAATGACTTAAATGAGAGAAATCGAAATGAAAAAGAGAAGAATGAAACAATTACGTCTGAAAAGGCTGTGGCAAATGTAAATGCATTGAATAACCAAAGTAGTATTGCTCATTGTGCTGTGTCATTGCAAAAACAATGTGCTGGTAAATACTTTATATAATATTTTTTTTTTTTTTTGAAAATAAAGTGAAATATATATACACACACACGCACGCATATTAATGTGTATTTATTTATTTACAGAAGGTTTAATGTCTTTGTTAAAAGAACTTGGTATGGCATATCAACATATAACCCAGTACAATTGTTTGCAAGCTATTGAGATCCTTAGTGTTCTTCCAACGCAACATTATAATACAGGATGGGTACTGTCTATGTTAGCACGTGCTCATTTTGAGATGATAGATTACAAAAAATCAGCTGGGCAAGTGATACTATATTATTCATTATTAAATATTAGAAATATATCAAGTATACAATCTATATATTAAACAGTTCCAAGTTTAATTTTATATTAAACTTGCAGTTATTTTGCTGAAGTCAGACAATTAGAACCTCAGAGGACTGAATTAATGGAAATATATAGTACAGTTTTATGGCATATGCACGCAGAAGTACAACTTTCTACCTTGGCTCAAGAACTTGTTTCCGAAGATCGTAATTCACCAGCTGCATGGTGTGCCACTGGTAATCTCTTTTCTGCTCAAACTGAGCATGAAACAGCGATCAAATTTTTCCAAAGAGCTATTCAGGTATATAATTAAATTATTGATCATGAAAAGTATTGCTTAATAATAAATAAAGTCATTGTGCCTACTACAAAATAAAATACTATCTTCAAATTTTTTAGGTAGATCCTAATTTTCCATATGCATATACACTCCTTGGTCATGAATATGTTATGACTGAGGAATTGGATAAGGCAATTACAGCATTTCGTAATGCAATTAGGCTTGATCCCAGACACTATAATGCATGGTAAAACATTAAAAATGTTATACTTTATAGTTTCATAGTTTTATAAAATAATATATTTTTAATGTTTATTTGTATTTTAGGTTTGGCTTGGGAACAATATTTTCTAAACAAGAACAATATAGCTTAGCAGAATTACATTTTAAACGAGCTTTGCAAATAAATCCACAGAACTCGGCAATTATGTGCCATATAGGTGTTGTACAACATGCCCTCAAAAAAACCGATCAAGCTTTGAGAACATTAAATACAGCTATTATTAACGATCCCAATAATACTCTTTGTAAATTCCATCGTGCCACCATTAATTTTTCAATTGGTCGACACGCGGAAGCATTACGAGAGTTCGAAGAATTGAAAAATATCGTGCCCAAAGAATCTCTAGTCTATTATTCGATAGGAAAGGTAAGTTATTCTTTATTCGATGTAATATCGTTATTATTCATTTTCTTCTTTACCTTATTTTTATTTTAATTGAAGGTGCATAAGAAACTAGGAAATACTCACCTTGCACTGATGTACTTTAGTTGGGCAACAGATTTAGACCCAAAAGGTGTAAATAGTCAAATAAAAGAAGCTATATTAAGTCCGGGTCAAGGCGATGAAGATTCTCCGGGAACACAATCAGGCAGGTTATCAAGTCTAATCGTTTGTTTTTTCATTTTGTCTTAATAAAAATATCATCATTTATATTTCTTTCGTTGTTACGTATAGCAGAGGAACAACAAATTCAAAATAATAGTTCTATGGAACATGAAACTGATACAAATAGAGAAGGAAGCGGACCGGTACTCGATGGAAATGTTCCTCCTGTTGAAGCACCTGCTGATGACAGTGATGACAGTTTATGAAGATGTCGTGTAATGTGGAATGGATTAGTAGAACGAACCGTTGTTTCGCGTTGTTATATATCACCTTCATATTGATTTAATCGAAAGTTTTCCAGCTGATGTAGCTTGTTCTGGATCGATGCTTATTGAATTATCACTAATTTGATTTACATAGGATCTGAAACAATCAAGAACTGACTTTTACCATTTTTGTTACCAGCTTTATAGTATTTTAATACGTTTCTCAGCCTTGTACTATGAGAATCTGTAATATTTCTCTCTCTCTCTCTCTCTCTCTCTCTCTCTCTTTCTCTCTCTCTCTCTCTCTCTCTCTCTCTCTCTCTCTCTCTCTCTCTCTCTCTCTCTCTCTCTCTCTCTCTCTCCCTTCTTTTTTCTTTAAGTAATGAACTAGAATTTATGTTTCGTGCTTTCCATGTCGTTTATGTCAGATCCGATGAGTATGAGAAAAGCAACAATTTACATGAGAAAATTAATGATTGACTTAATCTTTTTCATCGACTTGTACATTACGCGTTTATCTGTATATTTTTTACTATATCGCGGTTCCCTTTTATATTCGTTCGAACATTCGATCATTTCCCTTATGAATCAACTATTGTGTAGAGACTGTACCGCGTTATAAAACCTAAGCGAATATAGTCATAAGCATGCCGTATATAGTTAGGTAATATAATTAATTAATTGCGTAAGGAAGTAAGAGAAGTCTTGTGTAAATGTAAATTATTATTATGGTATATATCTCCCTATTATTTTATTATAATTATATTATTATTATCTATATATAATTATTATCGGTGATTCAAAGATCGTGAAATCATACTCGGTTATAAAGATAGCCGTCGGACGACCGTGCAATTCTCATGATGAGGTAAAACCGCATTGATCGATCAATCTTTTTCGCAAAAAACACTGTGGAAGACAATTTAGATTGCGAATGATAAATGTCAAAAAGTCGATCGAATGGTTGTGTATATTCAATGGCGAATTAATGTACTCGTATTTGCAATACACACATATTGCCGGGACATTTAATCGTACGAGCGAGATTACGTTTCGTATAAATAAAACGTATATCGATATGTTGTCTTTAAAATATACGACACACGCAAAACGTTTGTACAAGCATAAATGCATCTAATTGTTTTAAGGCAGCAGGTAATCGTACATGTTCGTCCTTCATGAAATCGAGGTTGAAACGGCTCTTTTAGAGTTGTGTTAGATTTTTCTTTCTCCTTCCTTTTTTTTTTCTTTTTTCTTTTTCTTTTCCTTCTACCCTCCTCCCTCCCCCCCCCGTTTTCTTTTCAACGCGAACCGTGAAACTCGTTTAATTCTTACTTTTATCTAGAAGTAAATATATATTTGAGATATAGTGTTCACTCGGCGTTAAAGAGTTAATGAAAAATCTTACATAAAGTGCGTACACAGTACTATTATTAAATTCCTGTTTAACGCACCGAGTTTCTCGTGCTGGAAACGTGAACATGTAGTTTGATCGCATGAAAAGCGATTGTATCTGTACACACGTATATAATATCGAAGTTATATGAAACGTTACGTTGAGTCGAGTATTATTATGTACTGTGTACACCATGTGACATAGCTGTGCACGTGGACGTAGCATTTTATATTGTACACAACTGAGTGAAATGCACGTAACGAAAAATAGATAAATTATCGATTCATATACGCGTACATGTATATATAATACAATCATCTCGTGTATCTTTCTCTTCCTCTTATTTATCCCACCGAGACGAAGTTCGTCCATTTTTTTTATTTATTTATTTATCGTTTTCTTCCATTTTTTTTCTTTTTTTTTTTTTTATAAACCCTTCGTCTTTGGGAAATTGCAATACGAAAGCAAGAGGAATCTTATGATTTCTCCGTAGGGACTTGGCGCGATTATTACTTTATAATAAAAATCTTGCAACAAATATAAATAAAGAAGGGGATAATGTATATGTGTTCTCTGCTTTTGAAATATAAGTTGACATGGATTCCGTTCATCTCACCTTCAAATTCAGTTTTTGTATCGTCAAAGATCCAATAATAATAATAGTAAGTAAACATTATATAAGAGCTTGATAAGCATCCCAGTGGTAGAACGGTTGGAAAGAGTAAGAGAGTATTCGTACGTTTGTATTTAAGAGGAAAATCGCGACTGGCTTGATCGTGTTCAATATTTTTCCATATATCGTTCCAATTGTATAGAATATCATTGATTTATTTTATATAAATATGAACGGGACTGAAAGCGTACAAACTGGTGAGTAGATTTGTTAATTTTAAATATCTAACGATCTCATAATAAAAAGTTTCGTTTAGTGCTTGGAAGGATAAGACTTCCCGAACTTGGTCGAGTTTTGACACACGAACATGTTGCTGTGGACTTTACCGCGTTTTATACAGCACCACCGAATAGATTAACACGTTTCTTGAATGAACAAATCAAGCTTCACACTGTCGGTTTGGTGAAACAGTATCCGTAAGCGAAGAAGATGTGAAATCGTTCGATATAATTATAAAATATTTTACATAATTATAAAATACTGTCTTATTTATATAGGTATAGTAACATGTTTAATATCACATTCAATGACGTCGAAACCGCTTATGCCGTTTTAGAAGATCTAAGATTATTTCGTTACTTTGGCGGTGGTACTATCGTGGAGAATAGTAGCCACGGTTTGAAACGCGATCTTTTATTGATGAGAACGCTCAGTGAAAAGACTGGAATTAATATTATAGCTGGCACAGGTATTTCTTCGATCTTAATTTTACATTTGACATAGCGCTTTTGTATCGATTCGTTAATGTTTGTACATTTAAGGATTCTATGTTGCAAAAGTACAGAATGTTACCACTTTGAATTTATCCATCGAAAATATGTACGACCTGATCATGAAAGAAATGACTGAAGGCTGTGACGATTGTCCCCTAGTCAAAACGGGATTTATCGGAGAGGTTGGAACTTCTTTGCCGATCGAAGGTACGTTGAAATGAATATTATAATATGCACTTATCGTTTTATTACATATTTAATATTACTTAATTCACATAGATTTTGAGAGACGTTCAATACAGGCTACTGCAACAGCTCAAGCACAATTACGATGCCCCGTTAGTTTTCATCCAGGAAGAGATTCAAGTATACCCGCCGAAATAATCAGAATTTATGAGGAAGCCGGCGGAGATTCACGCAAGGCTGTAATGTCCCATCTCGATCGTATGGTCAACATTTTCTTTGAACTTCTTTTCTATATTCTTTGAAAGATTTATATTATCTTTTATGAAAATGTGCAGGTACTTTCCCCGATAAAGACGCTCTGCTAGAATTCGCGGATGAAACCAGATGTTATTGTCAATTTGATCTCTTTGGTACTGAATGTTCTTTCTATCAGTTAAATCCATTGATTGACATGTTATCTGATGCACAACGTGTCGATTACGTTCAGCATTTACGAGATGAGGGCAAACTAGAAAGAGTACTTTTGAGTCATGATATTCACACTAAACATCGTTTGGTACGTATAATTAATTTTTTTTGTTTTGCTTTTTTCTTTTTTCTTTATTTTTTTTTTTTTTTTTTTTTAATAACTATATCTATTGCGTTGCTTCTTCACCTAGGTTAATTATGGAGGTCATGGTTATGCTCATATCATTAACAACGTACTCCCGAAATTTAGGATGAGAGGATTTTCTGAAGAGGAAATAGAAATGTTGACTGTTACCAATCCGAAAGAGTGGCTCTTCTTTTAAATACCTTTTTTTTTACGATATAAATATAATGGACTTGTTAAATTAACATTTTTATTCGATCGATTATTTTTTATTAATAAATTAAGATTATCTCTTTTTCAATGCCTATTGCATGTATATATCGTATCCCATATACATATATCGATGTAAAGAACTTTTTTTAAATTCTTTTGTAAATGATTGAATTGTTGGAGAAATAAAATTATTTTCATGTATTAATTGTATAATTTATTATTCTTTCGTTCGAAACGAAATAAATGACTTTTTATTGTTAAGAAGATTTCACCGTCGGCGATACGATTATATATTCGAACTTTGTGCGAGATCAGCTGTTTACAAGGAGAAACAACAAGATAGAATGAGAGACGAAGAAGATAGAGGAACGATATAAACCGAAAGAGGAGGGGTTTGGTACGACCCTCGGAGGTCGGAAAGTTGACTCTCCACTGTTGTTTATCGCTTCTACTACCTAAGTTGAGACTCTACATACTACAAGTATTTTTCTTAACGTATTATTCCGTGGATCATTCTTCGTATTCTTCGAACGAGGAAAGAACTGGAACGGGAGGAAGAGAGAATGGATACGAGAAAACTTAGAAGAGATTCCGATGTAGTGCTCTCAAATGTTGGACGTAGAGAGCTTCTCTTTAAATTTCTTGTTATCGGTGATTATGGCGTCGGTGAGTGATTATTTTCTTCGTTGAACGTATTACGATTTTCTGTAACCATGTTGAAAAAAGTAAAGGTGAAAAGTTCATGTCAATTGCAACGCGAGCCATCTCCGTCCTACTATTTATTCAAATTTGATAACGTTAATCGACATGCTAGAGATAAGAGAATCGGTCAGATTTGACGTGATATTTATTTGTCACGTTTACGAATTCCATCTTTTATTCATTCGCATTTTCACTTTTCTTCTTTTATTTCAGGCAAAACGGCTCTCGTACGACGATACACAGAAGGTAATCCGACGTTTTCTCTTTAATGTCATTGTACCTTGAGGCGTTTAGGCGGTCGCACGAGATTAGAATGATCTGATGATACGTGCAAGCCATGTACGCATAAGCTGTTTTATCCGCTCTAAAGAAATATATACGTCATCGTACAACTGCTCGTCGCACCTGCGAAGCAGGGCTCTTTATCTGCGTCGACTGCACAACTACTGTCTTTTCCAGGAAAGTTTTCTTCGAATTACAAGATAACGATAGGAGCTGATTTTGCGATAAAAACGCTCAATTGGGATTCAAATACTAAAATAAATTTGCAATTATGGTACTGTCGTTTTTATTATTATAATGTCTTTATTTATACGTAAACGTTTACCGTCGGGTAAACATCAGCAACGAGTCTTAGTGAATGCTACTGTTTCTTACTTTCAGGGATATCGCCGGTCACGAGAGATTTGGATACATGACCAGAGTTTACTACAAATACGCGTATGTCTCCGATGTCATGTAAAAATTCGCCGAGAAGATGATCGCATTAATCTATAAGTCAGTCCTGTCGTTCGTATTTTTATTAGCGTCGCCGCGGCATTGGTTTTCGATATCTCACGAGCGGCGACTTTTCAGTCGATGAAGAAATGGCTAAGCGATCTAAGAGAAAAAGTCACGCTTCCGGACGGATCGAGCATACCCGTTGTTCTTCTGGCGAACAAATGTGACATTCGACATGTCGCCGTATCAACCGAACAGATTGTTAAATTTTGCAAGGAGAACAATATCGGCGAGTGGTACATTACTTCGGCGAAAGAGAATACGAACGTTGGTAAGTAACACTTATAACGAAAGAAGAACGAGTTACTTTAAATTTTAGATTTCGCACGATTCTTAATTTCTTGTCTTTTAGACGAAGCGATACGCCACTTGGTGGAAAATGTGCTGAGAGCTAAAATCGAAGGTGGTATACGGGAATCCATAAGGCTCCACGATGGTCCCATAGAGCGTGGCAAGACAGGCTGTTGCAAGTTTTAATCAATGTGTTCCTAAATTGATTCTCCCTTCCTTTCATAATTGAGTTTGGTTTATCGTCTAGTTTAATTATCTAAAAAATTTCTAAACATATACTAATATAATAAAATCTATCTAAATCGCTACAATACATGAATATATTTACAAATTGGATTTTATTCCTAAACGATTTTCGACTAGCCCTTTTATTATTATTAAATTATTATTGCCCCCTCCCCCCTCTCCCGCAATCTATCGATGCGAATAAACATAAATGCGTATTACTTATTTCTTAATCTTTACGTGGTTTTACTTTGGTTCAATTCACTGGTATTGCGAATCGCGAAGCTCGCTTTCGAACTAACATTATAAATACGCGTTATTGGTCTCGATTTTGTAATCCTACGAGACGCGTCGTCCTTTTCAGTCGGCAAATAATTTACATTTAGTTTCTATTGTTTACGATTACGTTCGACCCACGGTTCGACTTGTTCAAAACTTTGCTTCGTTTCATTTTCTCAAACATTTTCCTTTTTCCTTCGTTTTTTGACTTCGATCTTTAACTCCTTCAGAAATCCTTTTGGTTCCTTCAAATCGATCTCCTATAGTGTCTCTTCCAACTGATTATTTTTGACGGGATTCATAGCAATGGAGACGGTCGATACCATAGTCTTCGAGTAATCTATGAAAGCAAATAAATGAAAATAATTATTATTTTGCTTCTTATGTTGTTTCGTTTGTGTTTACAGTCGTTGCAATAGATGAATACATAGATGCAAGCAAATATTGTAGGCAGAAATGATAACAATGGTTGATTAAGGAGTAAAAATTGTTAAGCATTTGGGAATAATTGTTAACGTTTCAGCGTCTCTATGCATTTCGTATCGAAATTCGGATCGTGCCAAAGAACGTTACGTATGAAAAGGAAACGAAATGTGAGACACGTTAATTGTTAAAACGTATGATTTGCACTTGTGAGAGGAATTTTAACATAAAATGTTGAAACGAGATTGCTGATCTATTGACGATAAATCACGATAAAAATCGATTAAAACGATTTTATGATATATACAGGAAAAATCCTTACTTTAACGATTCCCTTTGAAATAACGAAACTTATTCGCCTCTTTTCAATGAGTCAATAAAAAATGCGATAAGCATATGTCCAATGTTATTACTACTGTATGTGTATGAATTATTTGTTTATCTTATCGCGAATAATTATTTATGAAACGCGGAAGTACCTAAGGCGGAATAATTCTTATTATTGCATCCAATTAGAACAAGAGTACGCCATTACGTATTGATCTTGTAAAAAAATAGGATTGAGTTATAGCGGTACATAGCAATCGAAGCTCGTTGACTAAACGTTCTAATTATATGAAGCGTCTACTTGGCGCACTATACCTTCGTCGTACGTTCAATGACGTTTGCATTATTGAGAGAAAACTTCCAAGTACCGCGAAGAAAAAGTATAATTTACTTATGAGAGCTTTAAATATAAGGAATTATTTATTTCATTGATTTGATTATTTGACGATACGTATTTTTTAGTTGCACCAGTTAATAAATTTATCCCAAAAAGTTAACATTTTCAAAGAATTCCTTTGCTCGCCGGTACCTGTCGTTATTTAAGTTTATTCCGCCGATGGATCCGTTAACACGTATATACATAGATACATATAGACGCGAACTTGCGAGGTGCAACATGCCTGCACATAGCAAAGACAATCTTAGAAAGCAGCGAACTTGTGCCCTTGACTTACGAAGTGAGCGAGTGGTCGCTTAGCTCGTGTTCGGTCAGAGCTTGGAGAGCGTTACCACGCGACGGTGCTCGAAGTTACCTTGGCCGAAGTCTTGGTGGTGCTGACCAGGCGCACTGCTCCCGAAAGGTGTGAGACTCGCCCTTATCCGCGAACAGCCAATCACGCCAGCGTATGCTTGTCTGTATTGCTTATTCATGATAACGTAGATTATCGGGTTCACGCAGGAAGCGAAGTATAGAAGAAGATACCCAAGAACGTGGAAGCCTGTTAATTTTGTTGTCTTTTTTATCACCGTGAAAATAATAATGATAATGACGTCTTCTCACATAGAGATCATTATTTTTACATATATGCATTATACATGCTGTAATACATATAAATATTGAAATGACTTTTTTTCTTTTTTCCTTTTACCTGGATATTTTACATTAACGTCGACCATCTTTACTATAGTGATTGGTAGATAACAGACTAGAAAGCTAAGGAAGATAGCGAGTACCATCTTCGTAATTCTCCATTCGCTACGTCTTTGTTTGATCTCTCTGGTATCTCTACCAGGTGTGTGCGGTGACTTTATCGTTGGTGTTGCGTGTTTTCGCATCCTCGACTCGGAGCTGCATAAATAAATGGGAGTATTACCATAGAACGAAATAATCGTTTCTATTTACGGGAAAATAACAGAAACGTACCTGTGAACGACCCAGAATATTTTTGCATAACACCCGACGATAACTACGCAGGGTATCACGAAACCCGTAGCGAACAAAAATCTCTTAGAAGTATGACCATGATCGTCTTTGACTATCGAGCATGTTTCTAGATACATATCGTAATCAAATTTTCCTAGAAGGAAAGACAAAAATCATGTGAGGCGAAGAATAAAAGTGAAACTTTAATATTTAATTTCAAGAATCATAGTATCCATCCTACCCCAAACGCCTAACAACGTTGGTACCTGCATCGCGTAGGCGAACAGCCAGCAGAAAATAATCATCGCAGCGATCCAGTGCTTTTTATAAATCTTACTATATATTCCGTGATGGGCTATCATGATGTATCTGAAGATACGTTAGATAATATTATATTAAAAGCCCTACAAATTTCATCCCATTCTAATTAATTTTACAACTATTATCGAATGTATTATTATACTTGAGCTAGTACAGCTATATCAATTTTATTATTCTTAAGATCTGATCCTGTGATTAGAAGTAAAAAATAGTACCTGTTAATGGTGATAGCTGCTACGGACAAAAGACTGACTCCAACGTTTCCGTACCTCAAGAACGGTACGAGGACGCACAAGGATCTAATGTCCGCCCAACTTGCATCGACGAATCTGATAGAGTCGAAGGGTAACACTAACGAACAAAACACGAAATCTGCCACGCAAAGGCTACAAAGAGTATATTAAGTGAAATTAATTATTGAATTAAACAACTTAAGTCGTTATATGTGCATATGTATATATATGTATATATGTATGTATGAAGAAAAGAAATGAATTTTACTTCGTTGTACCTTATTATGAACGCTGCTGCAACGTTACGAACTTTTGGATATTTGCAAAGGGCAACGATGGTAAGAAGATTACCGGCTAGGCCTGTTATCATAATTAGTATGGCCACGATCGCGGCAAATGTCCTTAATGGCCTCGGAAATCTACATTAAATATTGTAAATGAAATATAAGTAGAAAAGTTTGCGCTTAATCTCGAGATAAAGTTAATTCAGATTCGTCTTACCTTGAAAGCTCACCGTCAATGATATTACCATGAGTAGTATTGTCCGTCATGTGTGACGGCCACGTGGCCATCGAATTCGTGTCAAAGCCACGAAAATTTTGATTTAATGATTCCATCTTTATTCTATCGGAACCAAAGGGTTCTTTGATTGGCCCTGTGACATTGAAAGAAAATCAAACTTAAATTATTACTTATTTTTTGAAGATACGTCGAAGAGATTGTTTTAACGTAAATTTAATTTATGGAAAATCTAAAACGTTAATGTAACGAAGAATCGAGGTCCCTTTTTTCTTTTACTTCATACTCGTAGAAATCGTTTAGTTGAGACAAGATTAAAAGGGACGTACGATGAAGCATAAAGTCAGGAACTCATTAATCATAGAATTCGAGCCGTCGCGAGAGGTCGTTATTATTTATAGGGTTATCCGAAAGGAACGTTTACGAGAACGGAAGTAAGTTGTCCTGAAGCTTAAGAAGGATAACATGGGAAGCTTACGGAATATTAATCGCCTTTAATCTGTCCTAGTTGTAAAACCGAGTATAAAATATTTTCTAATGTATCTACATTTATAAACGTAATATTCCGCTTCGCTAAATGATAATATCTGATAAATTTAACATTCGACACGATATATGAGTATTCATTATTACTTATTATACGTAATATACGTAATATACGCAATATACGTTGTATACATGTACTTTTATTGTAAATATGTATACTCAACGAAGATCATAAGCCATGCAACATAAGAAATATGTTATATGTTGAAATATGAAATATCTTCTTCAAGTTACTTCTGCAAATATTGATACCTAATACGAGCTTCATCATATGATCGATCAAATTTATACGTATATGGCATCGAATAACAGTTTTATGCTGATACATGTATCGGATGTGCCTAGATATTTGCTTGCTTTTTAAACGCATGAGTTATGATACGAAATACCCATAGACGAATAATACCTGTATAAACGAGATTTTGATAAACGAGTAATACCTGTACATAGAAGAAAATAAAAAGAGAAGTTATCATCGATCGAGGATAGCGACATCATAGTTATTTGAGACTATGCTGGATTTGGTAAACTGAGGTCAAACTGTGGTGCATTAACCTCGATTGAGTTTAATTAAGAGAAATTAACAGACACCCGGTACTAAGCGTCCCCTCGTAGCAAAAAACACGTTGAAACTCATGGGAGACATGAGAACGCGCGGATATGTTCCTTAACTCGAACTCTTTTATAGTTTTGACACGAGGCCGTACAGCTTTATGGGAGTTGTAAAACTAGAAAAAATAATACGCGCATATGGGTTAAAGAATTATCTATGGGAATGTAGTGTAAAATAATATGCCTCGTTATCGATGAAACAGGAGAGCTGGAAATTCGATTTATATATATATATATATATATATATATATATATATTTCGTTTTGCACGATCGTATCCGTGTACATTTCTTAAGATTTAATACAAAGGCGAAATAATCCGATTGTTTAATCGTCAACGCCCTGCATATGCGCGGCAGTTTAGATAAGGAACTTCTACGACAGTGTCATTGGACGATTAACAACATTATTGTCGTTTGTGCTCTTTGTAAGTGTTTCATCAATATGAGAGCCGTTTTCTTTGCCCGATGACGTTCGCATTAACCGCTTCGTACGGAGTCGGTGCGAAGTCGGTTCTCGTCTAATAGAAGTGACAAAACGAAGAATTCATCTGAAGAATGAGAACTCGAGACCTACATAATGCCGACTCCGTATTGCGATCTTCTAATGATGATAAAAAACGATAACATTTCCATTATGTGACACGATGCGTATGGTTAGCTTAACAGCTTTTGAAAAGATGAAAAGAAAAATTAATTCACGCTTTGACTAGGGGTCTGTTATTGTGAGGAGCTTCACGCATTTTCATGATTGGACAAGGTCATGTTTAGAATATCAGGACACATTTATATCTTATACGTTTCGCAATCGCATGTGACGAAATCACAAATCCACCGAGAATCCATGAGGGCCCGTGACAGACCACAAGGAAATAGGATGGACGTCACGTTTGCGTTCCATGGAATTCACAATCTGACGTCACTAAATGATTTCCGAGTTAATCACGCGGCGAATGGCAATGAATGAGTCAACTTGACTCACGGTGAAAGTACCTCAGAGTGCAGCGGTATTGCTCGTGTTGTTTCTTCCTATCGTACGCGCGAGACGCGATAATCGTTTGTATTACTCGCCTCTATCGAACAGAGTTATTTTCATGTGTGACACCTGCTGCCACGTATAAGTATCAATCATTCTAATAAGATTAAAACATTGACGGGTTAGAAACGCGTTAGATACGATATATTCACCTACAACAAAACCCCACGTGCTACGTAAATGTGAAAAGAACATAAAGTATTCCGTGCTTTTGTCAGTTATACTAAAATCCTTGAAACTATATTAAATAAGAGACAAAAGATTTGTATATATTCGTAACAATGATCTTTCACGACATCGTTTCACCCATTGAGATCCCTTTTTTTCTCCCATGCATTCTCACGAATTGTTCATCCCGTTCGTCCACTTCGCCCGTCTATCCCTCGCCTGTTTCTTTTTTGTCCCATTCTTAGCATTGGTCCTTCAAGATCACAAACTCCAAGAAAGTCGCGTTTCGAAAGTTAAAAAAATCGAAAAAACTTGTTATATCTCTTACCACAAAGGATCCGTAATCGTTACTACCACCGCAAGTGGATCATCTTGACGTTCCGTCTTTGAAGCGCACAGAACAGGATTCTGAATTCGCCCACGTTCGTAGAAACTCTCGATTTTATCCTCATTCGTAGTTTTCACGAACTTTCCTCGTGATCCTCATTAAAAGTATTACAACGATTCACGTACGAGCTGATGATTCACACAAATAGAATAAATATATCTATAAAATATTAATTTTGTTTAAACGAAAGATATTCAATTTTTTTTCTTTTTTTTTTTCTTTTTTTGAAATATAAACGATTGTAACTTCTTACAAGGTTTTATATAATGATACAATAGCGATTCTTTGTATCAGGGAACACTCTCGTGTTATAAATGTTTAGAAAGAATGAAGTCGCGCGCGTCACCGTCACTTTTAACGAACTGTCGGCAACGGGTAACCTCCCGTCAGAACTTACGCGACCACACTGGATACGGGCCCCACGATGAGTGGGGGTGGGGGGTCTTCCCACATGGAAAACTGGAAGGGGAAGGTGTTACGTTCTTTACTGGATAACGAAAGCAACTCGTAGTCCCGTCGTAAGTAACTGCAGCTGCGTGCTCGAGAAACCGACTGACCCAGCAAGATGTTGTCTTCCTACTCTCCTCTTCGATTAGATATTTACAGTGATAGTTTCTTTCGAATACTGATATCTTATACCATATTATGCTATTCTATTCGATAGCAACTTTCGATGTTCTGGCTCAATTGTGTAGAATAAATTGCCAGTAATAACCCGAAAGTTCATCAACCTGTGGAAATATTGATGATCATTCTTGGAACGAGTATGCCGATCATCATAGATCTAGCTGGATAAATCCTTTATTGGGTGGTCAAAATTTCACTTGGACCCGCATAAGCTTGATCTTCAATGGTTCTGAGTTTTCATCTAAATAAATCACTGATAAAATCTATTTTCTTTCTGATGGAAATTATGTCTGTGAAAAGGATTAAAAGATTTAATTTGGAAGTATCACATTTACAATATATGCGTATTTAAGTTGTATGAGATATTTTTTCACTATTGTATCGGATTCTATATAAAAGGATTCTATATAAAAAATCATACACTCGTGAATGATTAATAAACGAAACTTCAAGTCTGAAGTGTTCTTCAAACTTAGTGAAACTTGCATTGATCAAACTCGAAGATAAAACTACATCTTAATATTCCCACGATCTGCATCTGATCCGGGAGGTTTTAGATTATCTTTATAGTCTGGAATAGACTTTATTCGATATCGGTGGATCGCAATTGCCAAATTATTGGTCGATCGCGACAATAATTTATTGTAATGATCGTATCGTTCGATCTTATTTCTATAATAGATTCCTTTGAACCCGCATGACTTTATGATCTTTTAGCTGAAAATGATTATCTTATCGAACGGTTATTGTTTTAACATTTAAATACATTGAAAATAAATTTGACAATAAATAATGATATCCTACATTGTTTCTTGCAGGAAATGTACGTCGAAAAAAGATTTTTTATGTTTAGTATTTTATGTGTAACTCATGAAATAAAAATTTTTGACGTGTTTATAGGAAATAATCACGATCTATTTAGATAAAATTCACGAGCGATTAATACAAGCATGTCAAAGAGAAAAGAAATAATAGTGTCACTTCCGACTTCGTCAGGGGTCGCAGTCTTCCCTCTTCCGTTACGCGTGCTCGTATATATCTGGTTTCTCCCCTTGCAAAGTGTACCACAGTCTGGTAACGAAATGTAATTATTTTTAAAAAGGATGTAGGGACCGTATTTTCAGTGGGTCCGATCGGCTGTAGGCGTATATTTGAACAATAAACCCTGCTCAATCAAGTTTTATGAATTAATATTGTCGTACAAAGAATAAAAAAAAAACCGAAAAAAGAAAAACAAAATGAATGTACTTCTGTATCTTTTAGCTAATTCCGCACATTTTGATACGTGCCCACGCACGTAAATCATTTCTTGCGCAATATCGTTCTTTCAATCACAAAGAACGTGACTCCGAGAAGGCACCTTTTCTTACATACATACATACATCGGGGCATAGTAATGCTCTCTATTAAATTGCCAACGCCTCCGCTTCAATCAAAACGATGATACATAAGTAAGTTCACTGATTCAAACCTTGATTTCTCGTGCGTTTTGAGGAAGAGTTTTAAATTCAAGAAGAAAGTCACGTCGACTTTCCTAGGAAATTAGCATCTTGGCGCACGCGCAGCATCCGCTTTTCATTCTAAAATCTGACGGATCTGGGCGACTTACATTCAGTCGACTCATGGAATTCGCCGGAATGATCTCGATCGTATTTTAACTTTGTTCCAAATTCGTATCACTTGGTAGGGAAATAAATTCATAGTCTAGATGCACCTGAAATATTAAATTAAAAGACACGTGTGTAACGTTTGACGTTGCCGATACCAATGTCAATATGAAAAGTGAAAAGAGAAAGAAGAAATTTAAGACACCATTTATTTTAATAAGGATTCGAAAGCATCAAGTAGCCAATACCTAACAATGTTCATATAGTTATGGAATATTGTCGATGATTAATTTTAAAAACAACCGAAGCCAAATATTCGAAGTGAATCTTATTAAATCAAGGTAAGACGTTTATTAAATAATTCATCGTAATTATAATTACCTTTGTTATTATTTAAGATATCAAAGTAGAAATTTATTATAAAAATATGTTTTATATATATATATATTCATATAAAAATATGTTAGATATTTGATTAATATAGACTATAAATCAAAAGAAAGAGGGAAAAATATCTCTCGCAATATAAGAGATAACAGTTTTGTTGATCCATAGGTTTAACTACCTTGGTGGTTATCTTTTTATGGTCTTGAGACAACGTTAGCAAATTCCAGTCGGCGTGCATATGCAACTGATTAGTTATTTCTTTAAACCGTATACTACATCTTTTTCGAGTCATTACTTTTCTCGGCGATTTTTGAATAAAAAAAGAAGAAAATAGATGAATCTGAAAAATATTTAAATTCTCGATTAATGTTTAATAAATAACTCAATACAATCGATATAATCTCATTCGCTTTCTCCTTTATGATAGATATTTACATATATGCCTTAAGTAAATCATAGTCGCTTTACCATCGTCCTATTACTAAACAGCTTCTTCTCTAAGTGAGATTTTATTTGGGAGACGATAGGAACGTTTCTCAAACGTTTATTCTCGCTCAAAAGAGTTTATCGTCTCGGATGGCGAAAATAGATCTCTTTCTCTCTCTCTTCCTTTCCGATGCCCCGTTGAGAGAAAAAAGAGAACGATTCCAGCTCCTGCGAAAGATGAAGGAAAGAGAAAGTGAGATTTAACGAGGGGAGCAAAGGGATGTATGAGCAACCCATATGAACGTGTATATCTGCACGTGTACGTGAGCTAACGATGAAAGAAAATCCAAATTACGGGATGTTCACATTAGATGTTTTGTGAGCTTTACGTTAACACCACTATAATGTGTATAGAGATTGGAAAAAGTGTAAGTTGTTTTTAACCAATCCAATGGATCTAAGTCTTTGGAATACTAAGATAGATCAGACAAATGGATTGCCCGTCTATCACTTTTTTACACGATTATATTCTAAACGCAAAAATAAACTTTTTTGCCTTGCACATCGACGATTATTATCGATATAATCGATTCTACAGATGCTGGAATATTGGATGGGAAGCAACAAAAGTGATCTGAACAGGAGCAATGTAACGATCGAACAGGTCCTACAGGATCCAGGATCAGTGGTTCTTTTCATTGGTTATCCACCGTGGCTTTTGTACTTTGCCGCTGGCTGTTGTATTCTCTTTATGCTCATTGGCATTCCAGGGAATCTTATCACCGTGGCTGCTCTCTTTCGTACCAAGAAGGTCGGTCAATTATTCTCTCTTGCAAGAGTCGAGCAGACACCGAATTTTCTAACGAACGCAACGACACGAAACTCCGGCGGTTTTGTCACGCATACTGCTTGTCTCGGTACTTAAATTTCCGGAACATACTGAAGTTGCTATGAACGTCAGAGGCTTACCTCGAATCTCTCATCTTACAAATTCTTCTGTCTCGAGAATACACCCGTATGAGTTACATTGTATAAGTTTTTGGTAACATTGTCGCGAGCTTGAATACTTTCTTCTTGGATTATTATTAAAATGTATAAAAATTTACTGTCGAAATATGTAAAGATTTTCATTTAAAAACAAAGTGAAAGCTTTAAAAGAGATAAAACATGAAGTTACTATGTAACCGAAAGTTTATCAATACGAAGAAGTAGTAGGAAAGTACCAATTTATGTGGACGATTGATTAATATTTCTTCGTTGCTTCGTTCCCTCTATTATTCTTCCTTGTTTCTCTACTTCTATCTCTATCTTTTTCTCACGCGCGCGCTCTCTCTCTCTCTCTCTCTCTCTCTCTCTCTGCCGTAAGTGGCAGATGGCGAAGAGCAAAAGGAGCCAATGATCGAAAGGTCGTCGGCACATGCACCATTCCGATATAAAACGTGGCTTTCGAAGTACGTCAGATGCAAACCCGGAACGAAGTTAAGTTTGGAAACGATGGTGTGCGTTTACGCGCACACGTGTCCTCTGTTTCCATGAGCTTTTATGTACGCACGAATACGTACGTTGAATCTGACAGTCGATATAATCAATGATCTCGAATTAAACTAGTAAGGCCTTCGTGCTTTACGTCAATCCTCACCTGTCTTGCTACTTTTGTACTCGAAGTTCAACATTAAACGAACACGTGCTGATTTTATTATGCGATCAATGTCATACACAAATATAATCGTTATTTACATGAAATATCTTCTCTCTTCTCTCTCTCTCTCTCTCTCTCTCTCTCTCTCTCTCTCTCTCTCTCTCTCTTTCTCTCTCTCTCTCTTTTATGTACCGGCATTTGATTGAAAAGCGAGGGCAGGGTTAGACGTGAGCACGTCAGTACGGTTAAGTTCCTTATCGCATGCAACTCGTTTCACACACGTGTATAACGTCTGCCGACTATATACTATCTGTATCTATATTACAATATTATCTCTTGCATTTTAGTATACACTTGAGATTCGTTGGAAGATTTTCTAGCGCTTTTCATTAAAAAATATCTCCCTGTAAAAATCGAATTAACCGATAGATAATAATTGTTTGTAATTATTAATGTGATTTTTAATAAAATAATTGGATTATTTCCTTACAGTTGAAGAACGCCACTGCGATATTCATAATGAATTTATCATTTTCGGATCTGCTGTTTTGTTGTTTTAATCTACCACTTGCCACCTCAACTTTCTGGCATGGATATTGGTTGCATGGAGCATTGCTGTGTCGTTTATTCCCATTGCTGAGATACGGCCTCGTAGCTGTCAGCCTCTTTACCGTTCTGTCGATTGCGATTAATCGTTACGTCATGATCGGACATCCCAGGCTCTATCCAAAGTAAGTACGTTATATTTTGATAGACGTATATAAAGATTGAAAATGCAATAAGTATAATTGAAAAATATAACAAAGTCTTTGCGTCTATGTCCGCAGACTTTACAAATCGAAATACTTGATACCAATGGTTTTGGCAACATGGATCCTCGGTTTCAGTTCTTTGATCGTCACGTGGTTCGGTCATTGGGGCCGTTTTGGCTTAGATCCTGCAATAGGTTCGTGTTCGATTCTTCCGGATGTGCATGGACGAAATCCAAAGGAGTTCCTTTTCGTATTAGCATTCTTGACTCCCTGCGTTGCAATCGTAGTATGTTACGCGAGAATCTTTTACATCGTCCGTAAGACAGCATCAAAAAGTGGTAGACAAGATAAAGTATCTAACATGATCGATGTCGGCGACAGGAACCGCGAGGTACATAATCTATCGTTATTTATATTTATATACGTATATTTATCATTTGATTTAATAAATTTCTTCTTTGAAAATTATGATATTTCATGATCGCAGCAACGATCTGTCACACCGAGATATCAGGAGGAAGAATTGTCTATGCTTGGTTCGAGTTGCGTCGCGGCAGGACTTTGCGTTTCATTTTCTAGTCGTCAAACGAAAGAAGAACAAACTTCGCGAATTTTTAACGGACAGACTTACGAAGAATCATCCTTGGGAAATCCACCTTCGTCCGAAGAGGACTCATCGAGAAACGAAGAAAACGATTTGCAAGAGGAGAGTTCAATTGGTCACGATCCTTCTATACAAGATAAGGAGAGAATAGCTTATGAAGGCATGGAGGACATACCGTTCGCTGATGATCGCGACGCAGACATCGGTGATACGAACATATTTCTGAGCACTGATCCCAGAAAGATCAAGGACTTTACTGAAAAACCAACTTTGAATGCTAAAAAAAGACTCGAAGGAATGGCAAGCCGTGCTTCTTTTGTGGTCGAGTCAACTCTTTGGATTCAAAGAATCACAGAATCCGGGACGCGATTGGAACGTTCCGAAACGTTTGCTAGTTCAAGATCAAGTAATTCTGATCGTCGTATGAAAACAAGAGGTAAGGTATTTCGCCGAGAGTCCAAATTCAAGAGCCTTGGTAGATTGCGAAATATGGACAATGGGCCAAGGATGTCAAGGAAAGATAAAAAACTTTTGAAGATGATACTTGTTATCTTTTCATCGTTTCTAATTTGTTATTTACCGATCACCGTCACAAAACTTTTTAAAGAGGCCGACGAGTGGAGGGGCCTCAATATCGCTGGATATATTCTCATTTATTTGACAACGTGCATCAATCCTGTCGTTTACGTTGTTATGAGTTCCGAATACAGAAGTGCATATAAAAATATGTTACTCTGTAGGAACGAGTCTGTCTCTTCGGCGAAGATGAAAATTTCGCATAGGATTGTTAGAAAACATTCTATGTGAACTTTATGAATTTAATGAAATTTACTTAAAGTATACGCATGTGTGTGTGCGTGCGTGCGTGCGTGCGTGCATGTGTGTGTGTGTGTGTGTGTGTGTGTAATAATTGTGCAAAACTCTTTGAATCTAAAGAGAGTTGTCATGGTTTTACCACGAGTGTACCTTAAATAATTCAATAAAAGAAGTTGCAGTGCGAAATTAGAAATAAATGCGATTTAATAAAAAAACAATGTATTAATTTTCTTACTCGCATATTAAAAGAAAAAACGTGTGTATTTGAGAGAATTTTCGATTTTTGAATATAGGAAGAAAATATATATAACTTAAATATGTCTTTCAAAGCAAAGATTCAATCTTCCTTTGAAAAATATACTAAAAACTATAGGTACATCCTACTTATAATATGAATTAAGTTAATTTACCTAATAGGATAGAATTTCATCAAATGTGACGTTTTTCGAGTTTACATTACATAAATTGACATTAAAATTAAGGAATATTAATTAAAAAAGAATTCACTCCACGCAAACTCCACTTTTTAAATGATTTTGAAATAACTTCGATTTTATATACAAACTTTAAAACATTATTTAAGACTTTAACAAATTCTCGCATTCGTCTGTTAATTTATTGAAATTACGAAGAGATAAGTAAAAACGAAGAAAATTAATTTTAATATCGGTCCAAATTCGGTGGAACAGCTGCCGCCTGTATGGTGCTAATATTCATTGTTTGCCATTTTTTCTCGTTACTACTATCCTTCCTGCTGTCACTTTGAGGCGTTATCTTGCTTATATCTAGTTTATTTTCCGATTGTTTATGTTTAAAATGCAACCCGGCCGCTGTTCCACCCAAACCCATTCCACCAAGAACCATTAACCATTTAACGAATCTGAAATTCGTTTGTATCGATATAAATGGCATTATATAAATTGTATTATATAAATTGTACGTAATCGATATTATATTACAACGCAACTATCATTATCAAATGTCGATTTGTATCTAATGCAAATCATATTAAATAATAAATTATACGAGTTATTGTACTTACCCTACAATAGAGATTGCTTTAAAAACAACTTTTACTTTTTTCACAAATTCATCATCAAGGAGAATACCTTCTTCAACCCAAAACAAAGGAAACAAAACTTCAGGAAAGTTCTTCATTAATTTGAATTTTTCAACAGGTTGCAGCTGTATATTGAATTGGAGTCTTTTATGAGCACTTAAGGGTGTAGCCGTCATTGGTTCAAAATCCATACTAATGTCGTGTAGCTCCTGTATAAAAAGAAAAAAAAAATATATATATATATATATATATAGATAGATATTTTTATATTATATTTAATCATCGAAGGTCCTTTGTTTCTTTCACCTGTAATGGATGTAGTCCGCCCACTTCCTGAATATATTTTTCATCGGACAAATAAAAATGCGGTAAAGAAGCAATCAAGGGTGCTCCCACGCACTTTGTCAAATCGAACAAGTTCTTCGATAGGCACGTCTCTGGTGTAGGACAAAAGCATTTCTCGCGAGGATTTGTGCTCATGTCTCCAAAATCCGCGGTATAATGATAAGTATTCACCCCTAAAGTATCATAGATGATATCAGCGAATGTCTTTGCAATTGAAATGTTTATGGATTTGAATTATAAAAGGTTGAAAAAAATACTACCTTTAACTTTAGTTTCATGCGAGTAACGAGCTCCCAAACTGCGACATATATCCGGAGAGAACGATACAATATCATCTTCCTTTGTTAAAAGAGGTGGAAAAATGGTAGAATCGGTACCATTGAATTGATTGCAATGATCTTCACCCCATATTGTCAATGCTGGTTTGCTATCCCATTCTAATACACGTCCAACGTCTTTAAAATTTTTAATACCGCGTAATACGCGCAATCTTTCAGGCAAGACTGTTCCATTTTTCTTAAAAATAAAAGTATTGTTAATATATATATATATATATATATATATATATATATATATATAATATATAAGAAAAGTAAAAGAAAAATATATATTTATACGTACAGCGCCAAATATTGCAAATCTATAATGGTCATCACCATCGTTCATTAAATCTTTGCCTTCCGATTTCAAAATACTACACACAGCTGAACCCGCGAAATCTTTCACCGAACAGTCCACAGGTAAACCATCGAAAAGTATTTCTCTTGCTTTCACCTTTACAAATATCGAATCGGGTTTTTTGAAGATGCTATCCACCGCTTTGTCTAAATAAATTATATGAGTCATTTTGAGATACAATCAATTTAACTCCGATCAGAACATGTTCATATCGTCTACGGAAATGGCATTTCATGCTATAGAATTGGAAAAAATAATTTCTCATTTTCCTCTTTAAGTTTCACATCCCGATAATGACGCGTTGTAATTGTCGATGACCTTAAGATTTGATCGAAATAAAACAGTGATAGATCCACGATACTTTGTACGATACTTTGTACTAATATAACTCACTAAGAATTCCAATAGCGGATGGTTTTTCTCTCAAAGTGGTCACCACCATTGCCAAAATTAAAAGATGCGGAAGCACAAGTTCCTCCTCGCCCGTCAGACCATTACTCTTCGACGGATTGAAGTACCAAGTCGCTTTTAGACTGTACTCGACCGAATCATCTTCTTCTCTATCCACAAGATTAACTTTTTCTTTGTATTCACTGTAATATATTGTTATCGATTTCAAAATGAATATATTATTATACGTTTCGTTCTGGCACATCGTCAGTTGTTGAACTCACTCGTAAAAAAATGGTCCTACTTCTTTAACAATAGGCTTTTCTCCTTGTGCAATTTCCTTTGGATTCGTTACATTGAAAAGATAGATCTTAAAATCGAGAGGTAATGGAAACTTCGACCACATTTCTCTCATTTCGGAGTTCTTTTTTAGAGCTATAGCCTAAAAATAGTGCGACATATAAAGTTATAAAGTATTCGATAATCTTAATGATAAAAATAAAAAACACTTGTAATCTTATATCGAGTAAAAATAAAAAGAGAAATGACATTTCTTCATTTTTAATGTCATAGTGTGACAATTCTATCAAAGTATAACTTACGATAATAAGACGTTTCTATCAAATGATTTTCTTTAATGAAAGACCTGCATTTACGGATATGATACAACAGATATGTCATGAAGAAGTAATAGAGATGACAATAGAGATCAAGGATTTAACCTGTGTTATAATGTATCTTTCGAAAAATATAGCAGTCATTGTGCAATTATGAAGATAATGAGAGATGAAACGTTCCCTTTTTATAAAAAAGAATTTAAATAGAAGTCAATGATAATTAATGCGATTAAATATCAAATATCGTATAGATGAATGACGACAGCAATCTGCAAAGTGAAAATAAATAAGACATTAATGACGAAAATCATAAGAATAGAATTATTTGTCGTTATCCTTAAACCATGGTTGCAATGCAGAGAAAAATTAAAAACGTGTATGTTTATTTTTCTTTTTTTTTTTCTCTAATCTATATTGTTTATCCCATAAAGCTTACTGATTTAATTTGTGATTTGAGAAGAGCAGGAAATCCCATCCAACCGAAGGTAATACCTAAAAAAAAGAGTACACCACCGCCAATACCAAGTTTCTTTATAAGCTCCATTTTGGATCTCTATAAAAATAAGATTTGCCGATTAGTATTGTCGTTATGTTTAGAAAATAAAATAAAAAAACGTTAAATTTTATAGAAAAAAAACATATATAGAGATAATTACGACGGAACAAATATAATAATCCAACTCTCCCCGATCGTCGATTTTCTAGAACTCCTTCTAAGAAACTGCTGCAAGAAGTCTGACGTTGTTCAGACCGAATCGGCGTCGGCGCGTACTTTCTTCCTCTTCCTCTTCACTATCTCCTCACCAACGAAGACTCTCGTCTATAATAGCAATGCTGCAACTGCGCAATGTCATTTATGAAAAATAAAAAATAATAACGACGAATGATTTGCAATAAAAGGATAACGTCTTAATAACATAATTGTAATAAAGTTATTAAAACAAGGGGTCTCCAATTGGAGGAAAGAAAATTTCGTTAAATTAGATGTCTATAGTTTAACTATTCCATTTCATTTTTTCGTCATGATAATTATCATGATAATTACAGTTCATCCAATCTTTCTGGAAAGTTCTGTCCTTTTGTAAAATTTCAGTTATAGATAGCATATGCGTCTGTCTTCTTTAAGTTACTCCGGCGGAGCTGTATCGGGTACCATATTGGTCTTTGGTGTCAAGTTTAACGCCTATCGAGCGCGTGATGCCGAAGTATTAATTAAATATGAGCCACCTAGAGGTTTCTAGCACTATAGTACATAGACTCGAGGAGCAAATTATTATATTGTTATTACTACTTTATAGTATCGTTGGTTCTCTTTTAATGTAGTAATAAATGAAAGATAAAAAAGATATAATTGCATGTATACATATAAAAGAAAAAAAACAAAACAAGATAGTTATTTAACTTGAGCATTGTTTTTTAACAAAGGTCTGAATTAAATCGACAACCAAATTACCTTCTATAAAGAAATTAAAAACTATAGTTATTCTTTAATTCTGATCAAATAATAATAATTTTTAATGAATAATGTATATCAAGATCCGTTCTGAATCTATGCTTGGAAGTAATGAGTCCTATGTTTTTATAAAAGCTTCTTCACGTCTTGAGCGTTGGTTTACAATATCGTTGATCATCGATTAGATCTTGTTTATTCTGTCCTTTAAATGGTTACAGCTGTGGTGGTAGAAGCACCGTTACGGTTCCTCAAGAATGCATGAGAATTGTTACGTAAAAAGGTCAACCTTTCGACTTGTCTTTTTCGATACGATTCAGGTCTATCATAAAAGCTCAGTTAGGTGTGATATTTCCCACGAAGTAACTCGTTTGAAACTTCGTTCGAGGTGTAAGAAAGAGGGGCATAGGGTTCTGCTGGACACGCTATGCCATCTCATTGGCCCATTGATATTCAACGTAACTCGTTCGATAGATGTTCCTTATACAGAATGCACCTTGGAACTTCACAGGACACTTAAGTAAAATCCAAAAGTAGAGTCGTTTCGATGCCTATTTCCATAACTTTTTACGAATAAGAAGAATTTAAAAAACTCAACTTGCGATACGCATGAAGAACAAGGACGCGTGCATTTATGTACAAAATAAGAATATTTTTTATATTTTTTGACACGATTTTCTAACATGTAAAAGAAAATCATGTACTTTCATTTATTATATGTATAAATAAAATTTGTCCGATATCACAACAAATAAAGTGGATAAACGACTTTGAAAGATCAAAGGAATATTGAATCTTTTGTAAAAATCCTAATTTTTAAAGAAGGAAAAAGGTAAAATTGGAATTTTCCACGATAAATGTAGGAAAAACGATAGAGGTAGGAAAAAAGAGACAGATTGCGTTTGAAAAATTACCAACCGTGCCACTTGTAACGTGCATGCACTGCCACAGGTACAGGATATGGTTTAGGGACTTGATATGGCACTGCCACATGAACCGGATAAGGACGATCTACATGAACCACCTTTTCATAAGCCACTGGATAAGGTTTTGGTACTGGAACCGGAACTGCGACTGGTCTATCGACTGGAATGTGAACTGTCTTTTCGATAGGAACCGGTATTGGCCGATCTACATGGACGATTTTTTCAACATGGACTGGATATGGTTTTGGGACTGGAACGGCCACTGGCACTGCAACAGTACGATCCACCGGAACTGGTACTGGTACTGTTAAGGTCTTCGTTATAGGAACCGGGACAGGCACAGGTACAGGCTGCGGAAGCGGGTGTGCTACAGCTGGAACTGGAACAGGCAGAGCGGCTGCTACGACGAAAATCAATAATGATCTAATTGAATTAACGAAATAACTGAAATATTGATTTTATACTGACCAACCGGATGTGCCAAAAATGGTGCCGTTGGCGATGCCGGTGCTGGTTCAAAATGTCCAGGTACAGGATGTAAAGCATCTGGAGGTGGTTCTTCATAAATTGGCGCTGGTTCTGGTGGACCATAAATTTGTCCTACGTGTTCCGAATGATCCTGTTGGAGGCCATATCCTAGACCAACGAGTCCTCTTTTGTCATGTTTCTTCGATACCGCTGGATTCCTATTATCTCGCTTTTCAACCATAATAGCCATTCCCACAGTTAAAAGCAATGATATTTCCTGTAAAGAGATAATAATAAAACGCAATATAAATTTATTCCGGAAAATGATGTACTTTTTAGTGCCACTTAAATTTTTACATAATCCTGAATTTAAATAAATGCAATTTATGTATAATATATTACAGCAATCGTACCAATGTATATCGTATGAACTTCATGATTTCCCGCAGTAACTACTAACAGCTTGTTACTGACGCCAACGTCGTAGAAAAACTGTGTTTGCTTCGGTATTGTGACCCCCATAAGTATTTATAGAACATCGCCACGCGACTCATCGCTACAGGAAGAGGAGTACATGTCGTCTTCGTGGACCTCATTGTCATATCGATCGTAGATACGATAAACTTTCGCTTCCACCTATCCTGGGCGACAGCCAAATAACGGCCTACTCCGCTTTTCTTTCATACGTGAATGGTAGCGGTTCTGAAAGAGAAAGAAACATTAGACACGTAATCCGGCATTGTCGCGCACTGGATTGCATTAGGTGTTAGAGATCGTAAGATAATGACACACATACAAGAAGATTCAATTCCTTGTTCTGTACTATGTCACCAGGGAAAGCGATGGAAGAACGTGAAATGCCTGTAATCAATTATAAGGCAAACAATTTATGTTATATATCGCGAGAACATCTTAGATAAGTATAAATGAATTAAGAAAAATTTCTACTAGTTATAGTGGTTGTAACACGACAAAAAAGAACGAATTTTAAAACAGTAAATGCATTGAAAAAGAAAAAAAAAAAAAAAAAGAAAACATCTCATTACTATCTTTGAAAAATATAATTTATCGATATTTTGCGAATATTTTATATCCATATCCATTATCTCTGACGCAACATTTAATTGAGATTTAACAGTTATTCACTTTAACCAAGGTGTCATGCGTTTGAATGGGCAAACTATTATTCGGTAATGAATAATGAATGAGCAGTAGCAACTGGAATTAGAAGTAGCTCGAACGGTAGAAAATGAAAGTTAGGAAAGTCCGCCTCCATAGGCATAGTCGATGCGGAAGCACTCTGGCAACCACTTCTTGTTGCCGATGATAAAAAAAACAAATTCAAGAATTATTAAGAATAAAGCAATTATATTAATCAATTAAAAATCAAAAAATACTTCTTATGAATAAATGAATGAAAATATTATACACTGCCATGCCATAATATTAAATCATCAATCACAAATACTATTCATTTCATTAAAATACATACAGCTTCTTACGTTAATAAAAGCATAATAAAAGTTGTTAAATGTATCATCTATAAGAAAGATTTACTTTTTTCAATTGTCATCATTATAAATATTCACTTTACGTGATCGTATCGTTGTAGTAATTAAAAAAGAATATAAGTAGATATAAGTAATACTTGTTAATACTTAAAGATTTCTTGTAAATTCAACTAAAAATATGAAATAAAATATTTTCTTTTTGTATAAACCACGTTCAAGCATCATTACATGTCAGTAGTTTTACATGTCAAGTTGTACTCGAACTATCCTTTAACAGGAATCAGTATTGATCTGACCACTTTCCTCTCCGGAAACACTAGAGTCGTCAATCGACAGCATCGAGTTCCCGGTCCGATCAAAGAAAGGAACACGATCTAGACTCTGATCCGGATTCATCGAACTATTAATCCACTGATCTGAAAATATAAAAGCCTACCGACATCTCGACCTTCTGAACAGTTGCACTCCGACGCATGAACAATGTCGAAGGTTTTGGTAAGGCAACCGTCAAAAAAAAGATAAAGAGAAGGACGATTTGATTTTTGTAGCAAGCGAAAAATTGAGTTACTATTAACGACATTTCTTCATGTTACAGTTAATCCTGACAATTCTGTGTGGTTCCGTTTTGACGGAGCAACCTACGGAAGATACGAAGCAAAGGAAACGAGGTATCCTGGGCGGTAGCGATGGATGGATCGGTATGCCGAATCCATATTCTTACGGAAACGGACAACCATGGGCAAATAATCATAATCCATGGAAAAGTATTAAATTCGCGAATATCAATTTACACCATGAAGGGTAATCACATTAATGTTACGAATATATTGGATTATTTGATATCATTATCTTACACATGAGAAATATTTTTTGAAAGATGGAACGGATTTGGAAATTATGGAAGGGGAAGTTTCGCTTTAGCATCCGGAACGGGCCATGAACCATTAGTGAAGACACTTCCTGTATATATAACGAAACATGTGGTCTTGGAAAAATCAGTTCCGGTTCCGGAACCAGTTTACATAGAGAAACCATATCATATACCGGTAGAAAAGGTGATTCCGGTACCGATCGAGAAAATTATTCACAAACCGATACCTGTACCTGTACCAGTTCCACAGGTAATGATTAAAAGATTCTAAAAAAAATAACGATAATAATAAATATAATTATCTTAAATAAATACGAATTTAAAGTATGTAAAGAAAATATTATATGATAGATCTGAAATGAACGAAAGAGAAAATAAACGTGTAATTTCATAGGCAGTTCCAGTTCCCGTGGAACACGCTGTACCAATACCGGTGAAACATCCCGTAGCAGTGCCAGTTCATCAGCCTTATCCAGTACCGGTGAAGCAAGGAATTCCGATACCAGTACCAGTTCCGGTTCCAGTACACTCATTGTATGCTCCGATATTACCTGGTCCAATTTACGATAGAGGTTTTCCGGCCGGTCCCTTTTATACGTCGTTACACGATCAAGCGCACTTTGGTCATGGTTTTGTCGGACACGGTTATGCTCATGGAGTTGGTCACGGTTTCGGTTTAGGGCATGGCTATGGTGGTCACGGCTATGGTGGTTATGGCTATAGTGGCCACGGCCATGGAGGTCACGGTTATGGCCATGGCTATGGGTACGGATCGTATGGATACGATCACGCTCGTCATTACGGCCATGGTTTTGGCCATGAACGTAAAGAAAAACGAAGTAAAAATTAAAGTAAATCATAATAGTAGGGACGATATATTATTCTTAATATAATTTCAATTAAAATGTTCAACAAGTGAAGTCTTAACTCTTGCAAATATGTACCAAAGTAAAAGTTTATAAATCTCCAAACGATCGCTATCGCAGGTAACATACAACAAATGCTTGAATTCATCGCTGATGCATACTTTACGTGATCTCAAGGATGCAACATTTCCGAACTTGACTCGACTACACGCGATGAAATAGCGACTGAAATTAGACGACAATAATACAACCTTTCAAACTTAATAAATAAACCAATAAATTGTTAAGTAATAATAAGAACAATAAATGCTAAGATCTTATTTATATTAATGTAACATTAATCTTTTAGCATAGAATAATTCAGCAATTTATACTTTAAAAAGATAATTATAAATACGAACGTGAGAAAATTACACGTGAAAATAATAATAATATGTCATTGTGCATAAAAAAGAAAAAGAAAGTTGTTACGAATTACGAAGCGTTTAATAAATGTTTGGCTTAAAATTATTTGACTTAACGATATTACGAAACGATATTATAAAAAATTCGTTTTAACGATCGGTTTATTTTTCCTTTTTACATGCATTACCACATACGTTATTATATACGATCTATTCCTTATAGATAATACTTTAACAAAATGTTTTATATTTTTAAATGATTTTAAACAGCTTCATTTACCTTTTGAATTATTATTGATGACAATATATGAAAAAGGAAATAAAATAAACGATCATTGGGTCGTGCCAAATCCAGTCAAATCAAGTGCAATTGAGCATTGTTTGATTCATTTCTTCTCATCTATGATTGGTGCGCCTATACACATTTCTCTACATCTCTTACTGACTATGCTATAGGAAGCGCTATTCCGATTGGTTGTGATTAATAAGACGAACGTAAGATATAACGAATCCTATTGGTGGAATGTGTGAATTAAATCGTCCTATAGAAATTAAAACGACCAATCTGTAAAGTGCAAATCTTGAAACCACTTAAAATTGTTAGAAAATGTTACCGCTGGAATGAAAACTAAAGGAATAACGTACTATTACAATTTTTTTCTAACTTGTATAATTCGAAATATCATTCTATATTTGCAATATGCTAAAAGTAAATCCCATAATTGATACTTATATATTGTCAATAAAGTTTGATAGCAATTGTTCTGTGTCATATCTAATAATGAGATATGTATTTCAAGTAGCAAAAGTAGTGACACATGGTGTATTCTTTGCAAAAGCGCCGCGTATATGTCAGCTGACAGAAAAACTATTAAATTCTTAGTTTTTTCATTTCTTCCCCAGTTAAGAAATTGTTAACCAAAATCAATGGTGAAAGCATCTTTACATTGTAAACGCAAAATTTTAAAACGCTAACGAATATTGATCAAAATTTGTTTAAAAAATATAATTTCAATTATTAATGAACAGTTCGCCCATTTTTGTATATGTTAATGTGTCATCTAAGATAATGATTCTATATTATATAATTTCCTTCTAAAGAGATACTATAATGTTGATGAATAAAAGGTGAATGAGATATATTCGATCTCATATAACGAGTGGCGTCTTAAAAAAAAATGACTGACTCTTCAGCCTCCGGCGTATCTGCCATTATAAGGTAAATTAAAAGTACCTTTTGTGACAGCTTTTTTTCATTATTTACATGAATATCAGCAAATAAAACATTTATCGATTATTTATTTTCTATATCAATATAGTTATTATAATCCTTTTCATTGAACATGTTCTTAACCTTCAAATTAATACACGTTTTGATGAAAGATTTTGAATGATACTTAATGAACTAGTTTATTTTTCTTTTGATTCACATTTAAATTATTTTAAATTATAATTTTAAAATTAAACAATATAAATTAAAAAGTAAATACGCTAATGAAATAATTGAAAAATAACTGAAATATTTTATGAAAAATTAAATTAATTCTTTTACATGACAAATTGTATGTATAACGAAATATAGTATTGTTTCTGTTACAAGTCTTACACGTAATAAAAGTATATACAAATTTGCTGACAAATATAAAACTCATGTTATTTAATTATAAAAAATTATATATTTCAATAAAAATTATAAAGTATAACTTATTATATTATTTGATTATATAAATTGAATTATTAATATAATCTTAAATTATATGTATATCTTTATTTAATTATATGTATATGTTAAATTAACAGTATATTTGATTAATTGTTTCAATTGTACATTTGATTATGTTCAAATTACTAATATAATTTGCGATATTTCATATATATAAAAGTTTAAGCATAATTAAGTATTAATCTCTCTTCATACGTATATTTTAAATTATTTATATTTATATGGTAAAATATTATTTTTTTTACAGGATAATTAACAATGTAGTGACATTTGTAAAGTGTATTACACGAACAGGCTTTGTAATATTAAATAATATCTATTGTATACCTACGTATATAGTATGGATGACTTTGTTGTATCCTGTGAAAGTATATCAACCACAAGTATATTGGCGAATAGAGGGCCTTTTTTTTCATTGGTTACTAGCCATGGTTTCTATGTGGACTTGGTCAGCTGGTTATGATAGTAAGTTATAAAAACAATTATAATATAAAATGATAGAATTATACATTGAATGATCTCCTCGTGTTACTGTTATAAATAAACATTTATTTTATAGTAATAGAACAAGGCGATGATATAGAGAAGATTATTAGTGAAAGAACACTTGTTATAGTAAATCATCAGAGTACTGGGGACGTTCCTATGTTAATGACAACATTTAATGCAAAACCAAATGTATTACCCAATTTAATGTGGATTATGGATAGAATATTTAAGTTCACTAACTTTGGCATAGTTTCTATTTTACATCATGACTTTTTTATAATTTCTGTAAGTTGAATTTTCATATATTGTATTTTATTTTAATACGTTAAGGAATATAATTTCCCTATTTCTTCTCGTAATGCATATTATTATATAGTTTGAAAAATTTAAATCGCTATTTTTTATTTTCTATATATTTTTATTTATATTTAATCCTGTAACATAAAATGGATTTAATTATTATTTTATTAATTTATTAAAAGAATTTATTTTCTACTTTATGTATCAGGGTCGTAAACGAAGAGACGAAAGCTTAAGACAATTAGAAAAACATCTAAAAGAATCATACATAGGACTTAATAGAAAATGGTTAATTCTATTTCCTGAAGGAGGTTTCTTATGCAAGCGTCGTGAAACATCACAAAAATATGCTAAAAAAAATAATTTGCCCATCCTAGAGAATGTGAGTTTACCTAGAGTAGGTGCAATGCAAATAATATTTAACACTATCGGTCCAACGGAAGATAATATGATGCAACATGACCACTTAGACAACAGAGCAAGTAATGTATTTCGTTTGAATTTATATTACTTTTTTGATACTTATACTTTTATATATACTTTTATTCGTCTGTGGCAACATATGAAACAAATAAAACAAAAAAAAAAAAGGATTTCATGAATTTTTCATACAGGCACGGCAGTAAAACCAGCTGAAATCACCTGGGTTCTTGATATAACAATAGCATATCCTCAGGGTAAACCTATTGATTTACCTACAATTATAACTGGTTCAAGATCACCTTGCGAAACGTTTTTGTTTTATCGACTTTATCCTAGTAAAATGGTAAGATATTATGTATTTAATAATAATATATATGTATATAAAAATTTTTTATTTTATTCATTATAAAAAAACTCGTAGGTTCCACGTGAACCAGAGCTATTGTCTAAGTGGTTATATGATAGATGGGTAGAAAAAGAATTGCTTTTGGAAAATTTTTATAAACATGGCGCATTTCTTGGTACACATGACTCAGCTCCAAAGGGTTCGAAAATCCAACAGGATCCATTAAGATTCCTAGTCATTCATTTATTTTTTATAACATCTAGTTATATACATTATAGTATGTTTCAATATATATTATCCTGCTTTTGGTAAGGCATATGCTATTTAAGAATAGCATTAAAATTTTAGGATAATTGTAACACAAAAAGTGGATTATTCCTGCCTTAAACAATATTAACATTTATTACAATAAAATAACGAGTGTATGGATTGTCAATTCCAATTGAACTATTTACAATTTAGATACATTTTAATGGTTAATGCCACTTTTTCATTTCATTTCAATAAAATATTTGATTTAGCACGCGTATAATTATTTGCTTAAAAAGGGATTAGTCAGAAACAATTTTCTAAATATTAATGCGGACATGGCGTTTGAAATTTTCTCAAGTAAGTTGTTTTTATCTTTAAATTAATTTTCTTTCATTAAAAGGTAACTAGTTTATACAGATAAATCATATATGTATGTGCGTGTGTGTATGTGGCGCGTGCGTACGTATGTATGTGTATATATATATATGCATCTTCACATACATATTATTCTTGTTATATCTTATACAGAGTCATCACATAATATTTTTCATAACGTAAATAATTATTTGCAATAATATAATTTCTTGATACAACTTGTAAAAATCCTTACATTTTGATAACTAGTTATTAATATGTAGTTACCATTAATTTAGTATAAAAATTTATTTATTTTATGTAAGTGCAAATACAGAAGCATTTATTGAATACTTATTTGACACTCATATCTTATAATTACATAGAAACTAGATCTGCATTTTCTTAATTATAATAAATTATAAAACTAGTGCATTGCTTTTATATATATATATTTTTTATATATATATATATATATATACACACGTATTATTTATAATGCATAATATATAGCACATGTTATGTAGAGTATCAATTTTAAGGATTTAGCAATCAATCTCGAGAAAAATTTTTTTTCTGCATTCTGTATAAAGCGCAAGTGTGTTGACACTTTATAAAGTGTTTAAAATCTTAACATTTTAAGCGATTTTATTATATCTTGCATGCATGTTTCATAATAGTTTGTTATACATCAATTGTGAAATCTAATAACTTAATGTTATTACCTTTATAAAAACAGTAATATTTCACTATTTGAAATATGCTTCTACAACACATTGTTCACTCTTTCGTCATATATAATAAGAAAGGAATACTTTTAAAGTATAATTATAGCAAAATTTTCTAAATGATAGTATTAAAAATCAATAAATTTGGAATCTTATTGTTATATTGAATTAAGTCTGACATTTAATTAATTATGTTAAATTTTTATGAAATTGGAAATAGTATTACTTTGAATTTATTACATTTTATAAACAGGTATAATAAAATTAACAAAATGGGATTATAAAGTTAACAAAAAGATATATTTAAACTCGGTCGTGCCTTGTTCTTATAAACAATCTTGCTGTTAACTGTAAATAGTATTATGCAAATATTAAGCACATAACTACTATTAGGACAGCACATTATTAATTTTTAAGACATTCTTAAGACATGTCTTATTTCCTTCTTATAAAGTGATATAATGTTTATAATGTAAGTCTAATTTATAAGTTTCATTAATGGAAAGTTGCCTAATAAATAGCTTTCCAAATAAAAATTGTGGTAAAAATCAAAATGTATTATTATCCAAAGTCTAAAAGTAAAAAAATGAATACACGTATTTTTCACCAGAATTTAAATTTAAAAATAATGAATTTGTTTATTACCATCAAACTTCTAATATTTTTTTGTTGGAAAAATTAAATGAATGCTATAATTGCAAAATATGCAGCACGTTTTTATGTGATATATATATATATATATATATATATATATATATATATGTCATGTAAAATAATATCAAACCCGTACTTGTAAATTACAAATTGAATATTCAATATGCAAAGTATATGCAAATGACTAAAAATACAACTAACCTGAGAAAAATAATTTGTATGTGACGAATTTGTATTTAGATTATGAATATTAAACTTTTTATATAATAATGATATATAGTAACTTGAAATTTATTTATAAATTTGTGTCACTCGTAAAGTTATTTGCATTTTCCTGCATTTTTATATCTACAAATTTTATACACCAAGTACAAATGCCGTTTATGTATAAAGATATTAATATATATGTAATTATAATTGCAAAGATCTCCAAGTAACTCTAAATACTATCAGCAGGATTGTTACTAGGATTTCAAATGTTTATAATTATTTAAATATACAAGTACGGTGCTATAACAGGAATTGCATTTTCTTTTGTAAGTTGTGTAGTAATTGTGAGATCTTTATTATAGATTTAATTTTAAACCTTCAATAAAAATGTTAGTTATACAGTAAGATAAGCATATAACGTACACATTTCGTTCACAGCTCATTTCTAGTCCAATTTATAAATTTTGTTTATATTGATCGATATTAAATGACATTTGTATGTGGTTAAATTTATATAAATCTGAATATCTTATATGTTAATAAAATGATATGTGTCGTTATATATTTTTTTTATTTTCGTTATTACAAGAGATACAATAAATAAGAATTTTTGATAACACGTATTTTAATATCAACTAAATATCATCAAATCTAAATAACGATAATCAATCAATAAAATAATCTTATCACGAAATGTGTAATATTGAAATAAGGCTTGCTTGTTATTTTAATGATACATTAAACCTTACCTCTCTCTCTCTCTCATAATTTGATTAGCCATCGAACTGTAGAATTCAAATAATACATAATAAGAATTGCAGTAATAAAAGAACACAGTAAAATTATTTTGTGCCTTAATCTTATTTATTTACACGCAAATATATATATATATATATATATATATATATATATATATATATATATTTTATTATACTATCATATATCGTCGTCTTGATAGATATAGAAATACGTAAAATGCAAAGTCTAGTTGTGTTTTCCTTAGAATCGATGGAAAGATCGTGTATAGTATTATTTCTTTTTTATGTATAACTACAAACATAGTGGGAATATTAATAATAATAATAATATAAAGTAATACGGATAATTAAAAAAGAAAGTAGCATCTATGATTCTTAAATATATTATTGCTAATTACAATCTAAAATCTTATTTACTTAATTATTGTAGTTCTTCGTATTATAAATGTGCTTTTGATGGTAACGACCTTTTATCTTTCAATTCTTACAGAGAAATAATTTAAAAGGAAAAAAGTCAGAAAAAAAGAAAAAATAAAAAAGTAATGGAAACTATTAAATAACAAATACTATTAAAATGAATTGAAAAGAAAAAGTGTCTACAACGGTAATTACAATGCGTTATACGCGAAGAACTTTCAATACTTCGACAATACTGCTTCAATATCATTTTTTTAACGCACGATCATATATATGTATAATTTTAACATTTTACATTTTACTGAAAAAAATAAAATTAAATTATGTACTATAAAAATACAAATTGTACCTTAAAAATAATAACCTTAAAGATAAATCGTGCATATTACCTGTCTTTTTCCATTTATGTTCATATAATCTTATAATGTAATAAACAATTTTGTAATTGTAAAAGTATCATCATATCGACTCATAAACACAAACTGTCTTTCATATCATATGCATAAAGAAAATAACGAAAAATGAAATGCAGAAGAGAATATTTTATAAATAAAATCTACCTCTATAGTAATTTTCTGTTTATATTTATTTAATTGGAAAAAGTAATTTTGTCATAAATATTGATTATTAATAATTCGCTAAATGTGTTTGGATAATTTATAATTATTTACAACCGTTTAGAAGCCTCTATATGCTGTCAACAGTATTAAAATATGAAATTAAAATAAGTTTCATCTGGTAGATGTTTTCAGAAATCAAATCGATTAAAATTAAACATATAAAACTTTAGAAATAGTTATAAAATAGTTTTATTATTTCATCTATTCCATAGATCTGCTTGTAATTGCTTGCGCGTTTCTCAATGAAAATACATACAATAATTCTGATTATTCTTGTTTAACACACGGATTATAAGAACTTTAATAACGCTGTATTGAAAGAAAAAAATTTGATGGATATGCAATTTACTGAAACTGACAATGTTAAATTTTATAACTTGTAGAAATATATTTAACATTCTTATGAAATCTTATATATTGCATAAAGGGAAAATTTGATTTTTTAGATAAAAAGTATACGTACATAGAAAATAAAAAAGACGAAATCGTATTAAATAATACTATGTTGTTAAAGTGCATACATAAGTATATACATATATACGTATATACGTACTCAGTCACACATGTATATATGTTTATATTTATATATAGTAACATGTATAACAGCATTATGTATGGCAGATTAAAAAATTGTTTAATCTGCACATTTAATAAAAAATATTTACTATGTACAAATAATTTTCACGATCAATACTCCACAAGATATTTAATTCTTCTGCTATAGCTTAAATTTCTGTTTTTCTCTCTCACTCTCTCTCTCTCTCTCTCTCTCTCTCTCTCTCTCTCTCTCTCTCTCTCTCTCTCTCTCTCTCTCTCTCTCTCTCTCTTTTATTTTAAATATATAAATTTTAATATAGGATCCAATGGCTAAATGTCTCACGCTGTACTAATTTCTGATATTTTAAAATGCATATAAGTATTCTATTTTTATATGATATTGTAACAATTGTATTACAAAGTATCTTTTTATATACTTCGAATCGACTAATTTAACATTTAGTACACATCTCAATTTAGTAAAATTATCAATTTCAAACCACTTGCATAGCTTTTATAGAAGCTCCTGACTTTCATTGTAGTTTCACCTAGACTCAACATTTTATTAGATTAATAATATTTTGGCACATTCTCCTAACGTTTTGTTATATATCATTGTATGTCATATATATGTATATATATATATATATATATATATATATATATATATACATATATAATATTGGTAAATATTACGTGTTTATGCTATTACCAATGGCTCATCGTCTGAGAAACCTCTAATCACAGGGCTATCTTCCTCTTCTGCTGAGAAAAAGAATATCATATAATTTGTAAATACTTTATACGATAAAGTAAATCTCAAATTAGTAAAGTGAATAAATTCGATTTGATGGTAGTATTATTACTCACCTAAGCCATCCGTGGTACCAGGGAATGTTGCTTGACCTCGTCTCGTGTCGTAATGACTATTAGCAAATTGTGTGAAGCTATTAGACAATCTTCTGT